CCTCACACGCCCCATCTCCCCGCAGCCCCCCCCCCCCCCAAGCCAGCACCCCTCCCCCTCACCCCAGCCTCCCCCCGCTGCGCCCCACGACCCCCGGATCAAGCCCACCACCCCTCTCCCCCGCCCCACAGCCCGTCACCCGGGCTCCCCGCGGCCCCCCTTCACCCCGTTTAACCCCCCGCCACCCCTTCCCCACAGCCCACACCAGGCCCCTGCCCCGCTCTCGCCCCAAGGCCGCCCCCCAGCCGCTGTCCAGACCCCGGCCCCCCGCCCGCCCCAACGTCCGTGTGTCTGTCTGTCCCCCCCCCCGGCCTCCCGCCGCCCCGCCCCGGGCCTGCCCCGCCGCGGGCCCGCCGGGCCCCCACGGGCGCCGCTCGCACGCCGGCGGGAGCGCGGGGAGGGAGGCGCGGCGGGGCCGAGGCCCAGGGGACGCTTACCTCCGACCCGGTACATGTTGGCGGCCATGCCCGGGACGGGGCCGGGTGCGGGGCGCGGGCCGCTCCCGCCGCCGCCGCCTCCAGGTGCCGGATCCGCTGGAAAATGGAGGCTGGAGCGGCCGGGCGGGGGAGGGGAGCGGGGGGAATTAAAGGGGCCGCGCCGGCTGCCGCCCGGCCGACGGGGAGAGATGGGGGGGGGGCGGGCGGGCGGGCGGGAGGCGGAGGGCGGGGCGGCGGGTGCGGCGGAGAGGAGCCCGGCGGCGGCGGGAGGGAGCGGGCGGGAAGGAGCCGGGCCCGCCGCCCAGCCCGCGGCGTGTGAGGGCGGCGCTCCGCGGCCTGCGCGCGGCGGGAGGGGAGCGGGCCTGCTGGCGGGATGCGCCGCGCCGCGCCTCGCACGCCGCCCGCCCGTCCTCGCCCTCACGCGCACACACACACCGCCCGCCTCGCCTCGCACTCACACACACACACACACAGCTCACCTTTCCTCACACACTCACACACAACCCGCCAGTCCTCACACACACGCACAGAGCCGGCCTTTCCTCACACACTCACACACATCCCGCCTGTCCCCTCACGCTCACACACATCCCGCCTGTCCCCTCACACTCACACACATCCCGCCTGTCCCCTCACACTCACACACATCCCGCCTGTCCCCTCACACTCACACACATCCCGCCTGTCCCCTCACACTCACACACATCCCGCCTGTCCCCTCACACTCACACACATCCCGCCTGTCCCCTCACACACACACATCGCGCCTGTCCCCCTCACACTCACACACATCCCGCCTGTCCCCTCACACTCACACACATCCCGCCTGTCCCCTCACACTCACACACATCCCGCCTGTCCCCCTCACACTCACACACATCCCCTGCCTGTCCTCTCCACACACACACACACGGCCTGTCCTCATTTACAGCCCAACACACAGACACTCAAAGCACCACCCGTGCTCACACCTATCTGCCTGTACACAGCTCTCCTCACACAGGCATCTGCCTGTACTTGCGCACAGCCTCCCTCAGAGCACCCCACCTGTACACACAGCCCTACACACATGCATCTCACTGTACTCACAGCCCTCCTCATGTACACACACTGGGTATACTCACACACACACCCCCTCATCTGCCTGGTTTCACAGCCTCACACACACGCTGCCTGTATTCACACACAGCCTCCGTGTACAGGCACTGCCTGTACTTGCTGGCAGCCCTCACGCTGCCTGTCCTCACACACAGTCTTCCTCATGCATACTCAGCTACCACAGGCTGTACCCACCCTGGGCAGGAGCAACAGGCCACACCACAGGCACAGCCCTCCTTGCACACCCGCCCAGCCTGCTCACACCATGTAAGACACCCCCTCACACCTGTAGCTACACCCATATGCTACCTGCACCATGTGTACAGCCCTCCAGCCCTACACACACACACACACAAGTCCTGTGCCCTGTGCACACCTGCTCACACCCCTCCAACACTGTTTTGGAACCCCACGATGGCAAGAGGGTGGCTGGCCCGTCCCCTCCCCACTTGTGTCACTTGCTGCCACGCTGGGGCTTTCCCCCTTCCTCGAGTGTCAGCCCGAGAGGTGAAGAGTGGGTGACAGCTTTAGTTCTCCCATACCCACTGACCTGGGGGTGTCGTGAGCATACCAGGGGCTGCTCCGAGCAGATACATCCCTCCTCTTCAGGTGCCACCAGCCCTACAGCAGTTACGTGGTTGTTGAAAAGTCGCCGGCTCCAGATCTCTCTGCAACTTGCACATTGCCACTGCCATTTCCTCTCCTACAGGAACTGACAGGCTGGCACCAAAAAACACCCCAAGAAACTGTCATTCTTTGGTACATAACACCTTTACAGCAGGTCCCCCAGCAAGGGCTGACACGGTACAGCAAAGCAGGTGACGGGCCACCCCCCTGAGGGCTTCTCTATGGCCAAGGCTGGATGGTGAACCCCAGTGAGGAGCTACACCTCCCATGGTCTGCACAGGCGGACTCGGCAGGATGGCTACGCTCACTCTTCAGCGCAGAACTAGTGAAACACCTGGTATTGCCTAAGCCAGGTATCAGCCCAGGACCCCTCCTCAGAGAGGTCACGATGGCCAAAAAATATCTGTCGTGAAACTCTTTGCTGGTTAACGGTGCAAACCGTCATACCCTTTACCAGGGCTGGGCACGGCCCCTGCCTGCGCTCTCAACCTTGGCTCTCAAAGTCCTGAAACAGCTACACAAGACTGCCCAAAACCTTGACATCTGCCAAAATGCATCTATTTGAAAAAAAACAGGGCTTCTGTTCAAATTTGCTTTGCCTGTTAGGAGAGAAAAAAAAAAAAAAAACAAAACAAAAAAAACAACAAATTTCTGACAGTCCTCAGATCGCAGTAGGGCACAGGGCTCTGCTTTCATGTTTCCAATGTGTGCAAAGAGCGCGGCTGAGCGAGGAAAGCACTTCTGGGGGTGAAAATTGGTCAGCCAAAAAAGTTCAGTGTGCCGAGGGGGCACCACCGTGGTATTTCCTCCTTGCCGAGCCGGCCGGGGGAGCGGGTGCCGGTACAGCCGTCGGGGACACCGCTGGACGCGGGGGCTGGCTCGCCCCGGGCTGCTCCTGTAACCGTTCTGCAGAGCAGAAAATAATTCAGCAGGACACACAAAAATTATCCAGAATAAATATTTACAAATCACATCGTGGGGCACTCAGTAGTTGCACATGAAGAAGCGGGCAGTCACGTGGCGCTGACTGCTCTTTCCAGATGCTAGGTTTTGTTTTAAATGATAACAACAAAAACATATTGGAACTTCCTTGCTGTTCCTCTTCCAGGTTGTGCAGTAGCTGTGGTCACCGCCGGGGCATTGCGTGATGGGAGGGAGGGGAGCTGCTGCCCGTGGCCACAGGGAGCAGATTCTTGCAACGCTCCACCTCCCACCACCAATCCCAGCTCCCACCGTAGCAAACCCAGTCCTTCCAGAACGCTTTCGGTGCATCTCCACAGGGCATCACTTGCATTTGATGCCTCTCACATGGCGGCGAGGGTGCACCTCTGCCGAGAAAGGCCACGACCTGCAAAAGGAAGATTCCAGCACTTTGAGAACCCAGTCCGAGGTTGCCTGGCAGAAATAATTTTTTTTCCCCATTTCTTTTTTTTTTTTTTTCCGAGGGTGAGGGAGGCTCTCTAGGCCCATTGCGCCTGTGACCTGGCACACCCCAGCCCTGAACCATCCTTGCTCTACCCAGCTCTTATTTCCTTCTCCTCCCTTCCAGAAGACAGGGGAGTGTGCTCATGGCCCCACCAGGGTTTTGGCTTGGCGTGGAGAGCTCACACGTGCTCCCCACTGGTGATGCAGGGCTAAGCCTCTGCCCCCTCCTCCACCACCACCCGAGCCTTTCCCCACCCCGGTCCCCTCCGCTTGCACCCTCCTCCCCATGCCAAGACGAGCTCCTCCGTGGGCTCTAAAAGGCGAAGCTTCCTCCACGCAGCTGGGCCCTCGGTGCAGGATTACAGCTGAAACTGTGCAAAAAAAACACGTAGCCAAAACACAGCTTTCACCCACTCGTCTCCCTTATTTGCCCCAGGGTGCTCCCCCGCATCTCACCAGCAGCCAGGCACTTCTCTTGGTGCTGTCTCTGCACTCGAGTCCTGCATTTTCCCCACTCCCGAGCTACGTACCTTCCTCCTGCCTGGAGTTATCCAAGCCCCACTCTGTGCCACCTGGGTGGGACTTGCGTCCCCTCCTCCAGCAAACGGCTCAGGCCATAAACGCGCCTGGCAAGCCTGGCCAGGCCCTGCAGAGGAGCTGGGACACCCACCAACACCCGTGTGCGTGGAGAGCAGCCCGGCCCGCTGCGAGGAGCTCCCTTCACCCCCAGCTCCTTGCTCCATCAGCAGCCACCCCTCCCGCCCCCACCCTCGGCACAGGGGGAGCACAGGGGTGCAGGCTGCTGCGGCTCAGCGTTCCCACTGCTGCCGCCAACGTCCTGGATCCTGGGCACCATGGCCATGGGCCCACTTCCCAAAATTGCTTCACCTTTGTGCCTCCTTCCCCTTCTTCCCACCTTCCCGCTCCCCAGCACCAAGCCCAGCTGCTTGCTGCCCCATGCGTCCCCCGGTCCCTCTCCCACTGCACACACAGCTTCAGGCTACTACAGCCTCAGTCTTCCGCCACTGAGACACCCCCCAGTGCCCCACCACCACTGCGTGCATTCAGTGCAGCCCCCACACCAGAAATGAGCACCAGCCTGGTCCCTTCTTGCTGCGAGGGGGTGAGCACCGGGTGCGAGAGACAGCTGTCAGATCCAGGAGAGGTGCAGGAGGCCAGCAGGTCCCCTCTGGGAGAGGAGGCATCAGGGCTGCAAAAACCACAGGAGGGCTCAGTGCGGCGGAGGACGTGCCGATCCGCCAGCTCTGCCCTGGAAGTGCTGCCGGGAAGCTGGATAAATAACACAAGAGATCCCCCCCATGCCAGAAAGCCACGCTGCTGTCTGCTGCTGGAGACAACGGCCCCAGTCAGGCCAGAGCAGCCCCTGCTGAGAGATGACTCAAGGTACGGGTGTGTGCTTTCATGTCCAGTTTTATTAGTGTTGCATTAGTACCATAAAATAGTTGACGAGGTCGAGCACGTTGCAGTTTGTTCCAAAAAAAGGCTATTTACATTTAATCTGTCTTCATTAAAAAAACAAAACAAAACAAAACAAAACAAAACAACCAACCGAGAACCCAAACAATACAACAGTGAAACAGATGGACAACTCAGGAATCTACAAAGTGGTAACGTCCCCTGGCAGGCCGCGGTCCGGACAAGGCTGGTGCCCCAGCTCACAGGGTGCTTCCCCGCACCCGCGGCACGTACGCAACCCTCCGGCCAGGGCGCAAAGCAGCAGCTGACTGGACGCGGCCCCAACCCGGTGCTCTTCCTTAAGGAAACCAGTGACCTGCTGCTTTCCAAGTTGGCACGTCCCCTGCTCCCCCAAGTGTGTCCCAAAGCCGCTGAGTGAGCCCGCAGGAGCCGGCCCTGCCAGGAGCATCTCCCCTGAAAAAACCCCGCTGAAGAAGCTCTAGGAAACCTCTGGGAGATGCTGCTGCTCGCTTCTGGCTTTCCCCCTGCTAGGTAAGCCCAGAGGGTGTGTCACACTGAAACGCTACCACACAGCTACCCCCCGAGATTGAGACCCCCTGAACCAAGGGGACAGAGGCACTGCATCCAGTCTAGCTTCAAGAAAGCTCCAGGGCTCCCAGCCCTTTACCGCTGCACGGCAGGACTGCCCTAATCCCAGCCTTCCCGATCCCTCAGCGCACCAAGCAGCAGGAGAAGGCCACCAGCTCTGCTGCCCCTTGCTGGGATTTTCTTCTTAAACCTGGAGGTGGCAAGCGCAGTGCCCTCCACCCCAGCTCTCAAGTGCTCCCTTCAGCATACGCTGCCGGTGAGAAACACAACGGGGCCTTTGCTGCAATTGCAGGTTAAGCGCAGGGCAGTGTGGTTTTCGGCTGAATCTGGTGATGGAAAGGAAACAGGCGCAATCTCCTCCAGCCCTAGAAACCTCCCAGCTACCTACCCCTGCCCTCTCTGCAGGATAAAGCCACAGGCACACGCTAATTAAAGCAGCAAAACACAGCCAGAGAGACAGCGGCTCTCCCCAAACTCATCTGTAATTAAGGAGCACTCTGCAGTTACCACTGACATGTAAACGGTAACAACTGAACTGGATGGAAACTGCAGTGCTGAGCTCAAACAGCCACCCAAGATGTCCACCAAGTCGCCAGCGCCGCGGGAGAGCCAGCCCTGACTGAACACTGGCAGGGCCCAGGTCCAGCCTTTGTCTCCAGGAAACTCAACCCAGAGGACCAGGAAGCACTCAAGGTGCAACATGACGCCACAAAAACCTTCCATCTTTCATCTGCTCGCCGGCGCTGCTAAACTAGGTCAGCGTTGCACAGCCCAGCCCAGCCGTGAGCCCGTTCCCCACACCTCACCTCTGAGCGAGGCGGGTGCCTTTTGCCCAAAAGCAGCTGGAAAAAAAAAAAAAAACACCCAAAAAACCCGATGCTTTGAGAAGCCACAGGCAGGGGAGTGGGAGATGTGAGCCCTGTGGGGAGCTCTGGGACACAAAGGGACAGGGACACCAGGGGACAGTGCCCTCAAAGCACCTCCCGGCCAGCGACCAGCTCGGGTGCTGCCCGCTCCAGCCCCTGCCTCCACTGCCCGACCGCGCCGCTCCAAAGCGAGCCCTGCCTAACGCAGGCAGGCGAGATAATGCCACTGCGTCCCCTCGAGTCGCACCTTCCTCGCCAAAACTCTCAAGCACCGGACGCAGAGCGGCGCTGCCTCTGCCCTGAGCCATCATCCTTCGGCACTCACCGACTTGCACGCAACCACCGAACCCCGCCAGGCCGGTGCAGCTCCGCAGGCACGGGCCCACCGCCGCCCCGGCCGCTCTCCCTCTGGCCGTCGGGGCTTGCTTGCAGCAGGGTCCCTCAGGAAACTGCTGGGGAAGCTGGGAGGGTGAGAGACCTGAGATCAGTCACTCGCTCACGTCACCGGGTGCAAAGCCTCTTCCCAAAGTGGTCTGAGCCACGCGCGTGCTTTGACACTTATTTTCCTTAGACACAGAAACCGGTTTCTCCTCCGGTCAGGGAAAGAAACAGCTGCACAAAGTGGCTCCACGCAGTACGAGAAAAACAACAGAGGCACAACACCCTGACCAGAGCAGCACCACCAAACTCGCGTGCCAGCCCTTGCCTCCAAGGCTGGGAAACACCCCAGGCACCCCCTGGGCACACGGCCTGCCACTGCCACGCTCCGGGAGGACGAGGCTGAGAAGCCAGGATGTTTCCTTGCACGGAAGAGGCATTTCACAGCAACAGCAGCTTTCCACCGGGGAAAAACCCTGCGGAGAAGCAGGCCCTCGGGTCTCAGGTGTACAGAGAGTTTCCTGGTGAATTCGCTTGTATAAAGCCAGAACAAAACACAAACCAACGTGAAATGCAACGAGCAGAATTGTTTCTCTCACACATACACACACATACACAGTAGAGCAGGGCAACACACATTTGATAGGCAGGACCCTGGAAATCCTGTCCTAGCTACCGTTTGTTTCTTTACAGTAGGTTGAAATACAAAGAGGAGCACAGTGATGGTTCCCCCCTCACCCCCCCGAGTAAACAAAGTTATTGCAGTCGCTCAGTCCACCCCACCTCTGCAGCAATAACACACTCCGGCACCGAGAATTGCCCAGGCTGCTCGCGGCTCCTGAAGCTGGAACCCAGCCCAATCACTCTTGTCACACCAGCGTGAGACTCGAGGAAGAAATCACACATTGACTAATTTCCTTTAAAAAGCCTTTTCTTTTTTTTTTTTTTTTTTTTTTTTTTTTACGCAACAGCCTCAATAAAGAAAAAGAAGTGATGTGCTTATACACCATCTCCCACGCTACTGCTGCTAGGCAACGCTATACAGTCCCAGAACATCAGCTCAGGTCAACCGAAAACGCACGAGCTGACGGACACGACGACATTCGAACTACAGCTGAGCTTCTGCCACAGCCAAGAGCTAGCAGACGGCAGGCAGACCTGCCCGCAGGACTGCGGGAAGAAACAAGAGTATTGCAACTAGACAATATGTCCTGCCCAGCAGCGTGCCCCCCGGCTGTGGGACCATGTCATCCTCCCCTGCGTGGTTTGAAGGGAATACCCAGTCCCTGGCCAAGTAGGTTGCGCGAGTGCTGGGAAAGGGTTTAGTGAAATTGGAGTTGGTGAAGCAGCCCATGCTGTGAGCTGCGACAGGCACTAGATCCAGCAGGGACCATGCTCTCGCCTCGTAACCCCTCGCTCCCCATCAGCAGGAAAAGGCCTAACAGAGCAGCCCACCACTGCCCTGCCCAGAAGAATCTGGGCAGTCCCTGCCGAGCAGGGCACAGCGGGTTCCCCAAGCCTTTAAAAAACCCAAGGGTAAGGGATCAGACAAAAAAAAAAAAATTCAAAAGCATCACTGCCCTCGGAAAGTGCCTTCTGGAAACACTCACAGAGCCTGACCTGCCCACATGGGTGGGACCCAAAGGGACCTCATCAAAAACTTCAGTTCCTTATCCTGAAATGCCAGAGATTTCTGTTCTCCCACACAGCAAGCACACCCTGCTCCCCAAATCTCGTCTGCCACCTGATCCCAGGCATGCCTCAGGAAGCCTGGAAAGCGAAAGGCCACATCTGCAGCACCCAGAGCCACCGCTTGTCACGCTGCCTCCTTGTAAGAGCACGCCCTTGTCGTGGCACCCCGCGTGCCCCCGGCGGCAGTGAGGTGTTCAAAGGGAACACCAGTGCAGCCAGAGCCAAGCCAACGAGTGCGAGACACCCAAAGATCTCACTCGCCCATCTCACAGGGCGTCTTTGCTGCCCGAGGTGGACAGAGGACCCGGCTGGCTCAATCCTCTCTCATGTCCCAGCTACAGCTTGCACCGCACTTTGGGTCTGAAATCCCTAGCAAAGCCTGAACCCACAGGCAGCGCTGCGCCAGGGCAAAAGCAAATCCTGCTGGGGAAGGGATGAAATCCACCGAGAAATGCCTGTGGGGAGGAACACTCAGGAAGCAGAAGGGCAACATCCATCTACAGAGCAACCTGCGAGGGGCTGCCTACCCCCAGCACCCTTCATTTTTGTTACAGTCTCTCAGACCCTGTTGAGGCGAGGTGGTTCAAGGGCACGGCCAAAACGCGCTCCTGAAGCCAGGCGGTGTGCACCCAGCCCGGGGAGGTGCACGAGGGAGACGGCAGCAGGCTCTGGGGAGCCCAGCACGGTCAGGGCAGGACAAAGGCAGCAGCTAAAGCAGCCCACGCTACCTCACGTGTGCGGTTTGACAGATGGACAGGAAGGCAGCTGGACACGCAGAGCGCCTGGCTGGCTCCCAGTCCAGCCACTACAGTGATGTATCTCTTCACAGGCAACGGCTCATCTTCCTGGGTTTGTGTTTTTGGCAACTGAATTTTTTTTTTTTCCTCTTACATTTTGTTTTTATTTTATTTTATATATATATATATATTTTTTTTTTTTTTAGAAAGCATTAAAAAAAATCTGCAGCTGTTAAAAAAAACCCTTTCCCTTTAGAGGCTGGACGAGGTTTTACTGACAGGTAAATAATCGGTGTGAGTATGTAAATAGCAGCGACCCCACTGACGCGGCGTCCCTCAGCAGCGCAGCCAGCTGCGGGGATATTGTGACTGGCTCGGTTTGGTCATTGTCACAGACCTGGGACACTGGAGTTTCCTTACACCTAGTGTTTCCCCAATTCCTGTTCCTGCCCAACCCTCCTCGGGCATCACTTCAGCACAAACACCGGCCCGTCCCCTGGGGCGCACTCCACGCTCAGGAGCGGATCTCCTCTCCAGACCTCCCTAGCTACGCAAGTGGTTTGTTTTTCAAACTGGACAGTTGAACTCCCTCCAGACTCGCTGATCTCTCGTCCTTTGGCAGCAGGAAGAAAGACTGGCCGTCTTTTTTCTCCTAGAAATACAGAGGGAGGGGGCCAAATGCACCGTAATGCGCGTGATCTTCCGCAAAATCCGTTTGAGCTGATCCACGGCTCCCCCAGCCCACTCACACCAATGAGGTCTCAGGTTAATAAGCAGTGCAGTTATTCATCTATCTGCTCGTAAGTGGTAGGTGTTCTTGGGCAGGTTGCCTGCTCCTGCCAACTCCCCCACGACTTCATGTTGTCAGCACATCTATATTTAAGACGTTTTTTTTTTTTTTTTTTGCCTTTGTTTAAAGGGGTTTCCTTCCCTTGTAGTAAACTTAAGAGTTAATAGAAAAAAGTAATTCAAAAGTAATCCAAGCACATCTGTAATTAATTCTGCAGGAGAGGGCAGAGCGATGCGAGTCAGAGTTGGCACGCAGTTCCTGGCTCCTGGTGTGCAGTCCCCGGGACGGACAGAAGGTCCCTCCGCCGAGCACGGCTAGAAGTTAGATTTGGAGTGTCCAAATATGCAGATGGGAAAGTGCTTGACATGGGAGGACCACTGTGCTGCCAGCTGAAAGAATTTGACATCGTTCCACTCCACCCCATCGATCAGGACTGCAGGGGAAGGTAAAAAGAAAGGAGAGTTAGAAAATGCTGAGTGGAAGCAGCCGACCTGGAACAGCTTTGTTAGAAACCTCCCTGCAGTCGGCAGGGGGAGGCCCGGCCCCGTTCCGCGCTCAGGGCACGCACTGCTCTGCCTGGCCACCCCACCGCTGTACACGGCTGCACACACAGGGCAGGAAAGCCTGAGAGCACACCAGGTTTAGGAAGAACGGCTCAGATTGTTCCGGCATCGCTCCCTGACACCGGAGCTCCCCAGACTGCTGATTTGAGCGTCACCTGATCCGATTTCTCGAATTTCCTAAACACACTCCATTTTCTTTTTTGGGCAAATGCATTCTTGCAGAGACAGACATCAGTCTCTCCTCACCGGCACTCTTAACCGGGAGATCTGCGTCTCCTAAAGAGGTGACGCATGTTCCGTGGCCACTCCTCACTCTCACCAGTCTCACAGGGACTGGGCCAGGATTAAGGAGGTGACCTAAGCAGATCCCTCTACTGTTAACAGCGGTGGGAATTATCAGCTGAATAGGCTGCAGGGATACTTTTGATACTGGAAGCTCATCTCCACCGACAGCCACTTTAGGTCCCCCTGCAAGATGCATAGATGGCTCCCGCTGTGGCGTGCCTTCGTGCCAGGGTCCTGCCTAGAGGAGCAGCCCCACTCTCACCGCTCTCCACCTGCACTTGCACCAAACGTGCAAGAGAAACAGAATGACAGGGAGGGGAACGGAGCCCAGCCCAGCCCAGCCCTCTTCCTCATCTAGGGCACTGATTCAGAGGAGTTCCTAGGTGAGGGAGGATTTTCCCGCATCCCAGACCTTCCAACACATTCCCCCGTGCTGGACACATCCAAGCTTGTTGCCCAGAAACACCCCAATTACGCGGGCTCCAGGGCACGGGGCAGGACACCGGGTCAGCCTTTTGCCTGGAGGACAACGCCAGCAGCTGTGCCCTGCCCAGAGCCCGGCGGGGCGCAAGCGCTGCACTTACCGCGCAGCATGTTCTGCTGATGCTTCGCTGTGCAAATCAACCTGCTGATTCCTTCAATGCACTGGCTCTTTGACTCAACCTCCTTGTCTTTTGTTTTCTTGGGCAAAAACATCACTGTAGGAAAATCAAACCAGCACACAGTGAATCTCTGTCGCTCACTGGAGCTGCACCAAGACCTGTTTGGATTTTTACATTTAAACATTCATGTGCGAAAATTCTAACTCTAATTTTAGCTCCTAAAATCATCCCTGCTCGGCAGGAGTTTGACTGCATCGGTGCTCAGCACCATCACCTATAAACATGGGCATCTTAGCCCAAAGTGTCTCTACATGAAGCATTCCCAGCTCATAACCCAGGCCCCAAAGGGAACCTTCAGGGTAACTCCTGCTGCTCTGTTGGGACACCAGGGAGAAAAGCTGCATCTGTAGCAGTCCCTGTGCTGGGCTGAGGGGATCTGCTGGGCAGCCGCACCACCTAGGGGGAGTCCCACACACTGCACACGGCTGCTGGGCAGCCCGACACGGACTGGGCTGCACGGACACCTGGAGAGCCGGAGAGACTACAAACTGTGGGCAGCTGGTGGAGAGGGAAGGCATTGGGAGAGCTCAAAGGGGTCCAGTTCTCTGAGAACTGGCTGAATGAATGAGCAAAGATGTACGAGCTGGCTCCACAAAAGCTGGTGGTGTTGAACACCACTGCTCCAGGATGGGCCAGCCCCACTAAAGAACATTTTGAGCGTCTCAGGATTGCTTCTCCCATAGGCATGCCACTTAAAAAGAGCATGGTCAGGGGGTGGGAGCTCTGGGGCCAGCAGCGCCACAGCTATGTTGGCCTGCTAATGACCTGGCTTCAGGGTTATAGACCCATGTCCTGCAGACACTGTCAGCCTTCCCTCAGAGCCCCCAAAACCCCTGCTCCCACCAGGAATGACTCCCAGGCCCATAGGGAGGAAGATGTCCAGCAGGACAGCTACTGGCAGTCAAACACAAATGCAGAACTGCATTGCTGCTCCCTTGAAAACACTTCACTGCAGAGCTGTTCTTCATTTCTAACATGTTTCAGACTACCAAAGCCAGGAACAAATACAGCATTACTGACATTTAAAATGCCTTTTTTGTTTGTTTGTTTTGAGAAAATAAACTCAAAGCTATGAGTTTAACAGCAAAAGATTAAAAAAGGAAAAAGTTAATATCAGGCTTTGTGCTGAGAGCATTTCTCTTCTACCTCCTGTCCCACAACGCACTCTGCACAAGAACATGAGCTCCTGTAGAAGAGCTTGCATCCCTGCGACCCTGCTCTGCGGGACACCACCTCCTGTACGCACAAGCACACCTGGCAATGGCTTGGCAGGTCTGGCTGGTGCGTTTGTCCAGCTGCCACAGTGGTATTTTACCACGAGGACACCACATCAAATCCAGCAGAACACCTCTGCTGGGGCTGCTGCCATATGGTGCAGGATGATGGGATGCACACACGCCTGGCCTCTGTCTGCACGCCTGTCGTATGGCAGGGGAGAGCCCAGAGCACGGAGCTGTACAGGTTGATGGGTCTGCCCTGACGCCGGTGTTCAGGGCACAAGCTGCCTCTTACCTAATCCAACACCCCAAACAGCACCAGCAAGCTCACAGGGAACACAGGGAAGCCGCCCAGAGAAGCGTAACTCCTGGCTTTCTGCACAGACACCCACAAATATCCTTGCTCTGTCCCTACCTTTGTTCTTTTGGGCTATACCATTCCAGCTGTTCAGCTGTATGGGTGAACACATGCCCTTTTTACAGGACAAAGAGGAGCCACCCTCTCAAACTCTATCACCTTATGCCGTCACTTCTCATCTACAGACAGACTAGGATTTTGGGGATAAAAAGATGACTAAGTTGCTGTAATGCAGGACTGACAAGTCAGGCAGCCCTGGAGTGGCAGAACAGGGAGAGCAGCATTGCATTCTTGGCGTTTGACAACAGTAAGCATGTCCACTTTACCTTTCTTGTTCTTCTCTTTTGTCACAACGGTCATGGACATCGTTGGAGTGGTGGCAATCTCACCGCTGGCAGGTAACCTGCTGACCTGGAGGGACCGGAAAGTGCATTTCAGTGTGTTTTTGGTAGTGGAGGGGTCCTTCTTCTCTGGGTCTCTCTTTCTGTCCATGGGTGGAGCTGCAATCCAGTAATCCACCTGCAGGCCCATCAACTCAGCACCAAGGCTCTGGCTGGAAAACAAGAGAAGAAAGTGATTTCTGTGCAGCACTCAGCAGAGCTCCCCCATCTGTGTTTTTTCAGAGTGGCTGATGTTTGTGACCAGATGGTCAGGGGACAAGTGGCTGGCTCTTTGGGAAATCAGGCAGCAATGTTTCATAATGAGACCCGATAATCACAAAAGCACAAGAAGTCATCACTGAGCGATGCAGCCTGGGTCACATTCCGCGGTGGCATTGGCTTGGCAGCACAGAACTGCCATGAGCTGAGACAAGCTGAGCTGCTGCGCAGCCACAGGGACGAGCAGTGGGAAAAGGAGCAGACAAGCAGTTTCCTAACATGATTCTGAGTTCAGTGACCCAGCCAGAAAATGCAACCCCTAAGGTGGCCCAGACCACTTTCAGTCTTTGAGTGGGGAGGAGAGGCTGTAAGCACCTTGCTGCTGCCTCCTGAGCACTGATGAGTGAAGGACTCTGGCAAGGTTCACCTCTGAACTGGGGTGAACAAGGAGTAAGTAGGTCCCTGAACATTAGGCACCCAGTTCCCAGTCTTCCTTACTTGTTTCCATCTCCTGTGTTCATGAGCTCTTCCTGTCACCAGCTGCTTCCCTTCCTGTCCAGATGCTCCACCAGATCACACATGATCTCTGCTCTCCCCAGGACTCTGTAACAAAGTTGGCGTGGGGCGACCTGCCCCACAGCCCTGCTGCACAGTGGGGAGTTCCAGTGCTGGGAAAAGGCTCTGCCAGTCCTGTGACGTTTGCTAAAGAACGGCAGATCTCCGGAGATGATCTGCTGTTGAAAACTCCCGTGCATCGTGTGGTAACAGATGTGCGTCACCAAACATGCTGCCAGCCTTTCTTGAGCCAGAAAAGGGAAGATGAGCAGCCTGGGAAGCTCACCCTTTGCCTGCCCCTGCCTCTTGCTAGCTAACCCTGAGTGGAGCAGGGGTTTATCATTCAGCAGACCTACAGCTGGCAGCCTGTACTTCCTACACAGTGACAGAGTGTTGAATAATACACAAGTACTAGACAAAAAACCTAACAATTTATCTACGAGTCTCTGTCCCCTGTTTGAGAAATGGCAATTGTTAAGGAAGGCGAATCTGTGATCTTGAATGAAATATGCATCCCCCTACGCCACCTGTCTAATAAGAAACTCTCAAGGTAAAACGAGGATGTCCCATTGTTAAAGTCTTCTCACCATATAATTTCTTTTTCTTTGCTATTTATTCAGCTGAAAGCCAGACCGCAAAGCAGAATTATCTTTGATCACCAAAACCAGGGCAATTTCAGAAGTGAAAGTCTTTAAGGATGATGCTTTGGAGATGCAGCTTTGGATTTTAAGGCCCCTTTGCATCACATTTCTCATCTCGGTTGTAAAGACAAAGCATCCTTATGTTCACTGCGCCCAGGTGGTATTTTCTGCTCCACTCCCAGTTAAACATGTGGCTTAATCTTTCAGTCTGGGTCACCCTCCACCCCCTGTACTGTCACATACAGACCAGCAGAGATGAAACAATGTTGAACCTAAACTTCCTCGTTTCTTGAAACCAAGAAGTACTGGATTCATAGAGCCTGGGTGTTGACTTCAGATATATCACGTCCACGGCTCATGACTTTAATAGCCTACACGCTTATAGGCACAGGTTCCCCAACAACTTCCACCTTTGGAAATCCCACACAGAGCTCACACATGAGAAGTCAGCTCTGCTCTCCAGAGCCTGTGCAGCCCCCAGCTCCCAGTACTGCCAGCCAGCTGCCACTGGCACCAGTCTGGGGCAGACAGGACACTCCTGCCACCAAATGACAGGGCTCCAACAGGAGGGCCTTGGGGAATTGGGCCTCTTGGCACAGGCTAATGGCCACTAACACCTTCCAGTTGCTGGACACCTGCTACACGGGGACTTTCACATTTCCATTTCCTCTTGTTAAAAGGGAACTCTCAAGCCAGTTTAAGTAGCCAGAGGTTGAAGGTCTCTGCAGGGCGCTCTGGGGTGGGCAAGAAAGGTCTCCATTCTGTCTCCAACGGGGACAGAAGGAGATGCTGCTTAGGGAGATCACATGAGCCCAGTCTCTCACTGCAGAGCATTCCCTTGGACTTCCTTGGCCTGACAAACACAGAATTAGGGATATTAGAAGGGACACCCCTGAATCACCCTTTAATATCCATAATGGATCTGCTGTCCATGAATTTGCCTAACCCTGCTTCAAACTGCTGATCCTACTGCCACAGAAGTAGCAGAGGCAGACACAGTTCCAATATGCCTTTCCTGGTACGTGTGCAGAAATTCCTTCCTTTCTCCCTATTACTTGACCTCTTGCCAGTGTCACTGTGTGCCCCCAGATCTTGTACCACAGGTTTGGTGAACAGCAGGTCAATATTTGACAAACCCACCACCACTGTAATTTTGCAAATCGAGTGGCTTACCGCCTTCCCCTCCTCCCCCAAACCACAGAGCTCAAGCGCTTGTAGTCTCCCCTCACAAGGTTGCTGCTCTATCCCCTCGACCTCATTAACTCTCCTGAACCTTTAACTTCACCACGTGCTTCTGGCTACCAGAACTGCACACAAAGTGTTAGACAGCTACCCCAACGGTTTGTGCAGCAACAAAGTGAGAGTCTTGGCCAGGATGAATCTTTACCAGCAGTTTTCTAGGTGTTTCCTCCCTTCACCCCAAAAAATATCAGCTAAGCCAGAGCTTCACGTTGCCCAGAGGTGCTGTCTCCTTGCTATTCTGATATGCTTTCAGGCATATGCATGAATGGGAACTGAAATTCCACCATGCCACCTTACATCTGTCAGCTCTCCTTTCACAGAGAAAAAGCCTGCTCCTTCCACAGAGTCACTCTAACCTTACACTAACTTGGTCCTCAAAAACATAAGAATCATGAGGGCTTAGGCTAGCACTCACATGTAATTAGGGCCAGTATTTTATTTGGCTACATATCTTCCCCAAGAGAATCCAGTCTCAAAGGGAAAATACCAGCAGATGCACAACACAAACCTTCTCAAACAGGCTGCCACAATGGCTCATCAGAATCAGGGTTTCTGCCAGACTACAAGAAACAAGGCTGCCCTTTCTAGCTTAAACATGTCTGCCGCTGAGAAGTGCAGCCTTCTCATCGGGTGTAAGATCCCCTCTGCCCTCTCCAGCTCCTCGTTGGCCAGCAAGGACACAGTCACTTGAGAGGCAAAAGAAGTGAAGGGGGAAGGTGACAACTGCAAGTGTTTGCTAGGCAGGAAGAAAGCAGTGCTACAGGTTCTGCTTTAGAAGAGTTCTCCTCTCTCACATATACGTCAGATAAGACAGTCAAGAGAGCTGTAAAGGAGACAAAACAAGCTTTACCTCGAGGACGTGAAGCTGCCTGTGACAGACGGTGAGGAAGGTGGTGTGGGGGAGGCTTCTTTCACAGCAGGAGACACAGAAGGTGGGGTAGAAGAAAGGACACTGGAGCTTGAGGGAGCTGCGTCATCAGAGTCACCTTGCGGAGAAGAAGAAAAACTGTTTGACTGGGTTTGTCTCACAGCCCAGCACATGCGCGCTGGGATCACTCAGGCTTTGCCACGCTCCTGCTGCACAGGTTTTGTTCAGGCTCGATCCAGAGACCAGCTAGCCCATCAGTTTGGACTGCCTCCACACTTAAACCACGGGATTCTCTATGTCTGATAAGAGGCAGGCACGTTCACACTCCTCTGGGCTCCCCACCTGGCACCTGCTCTCCTAGGGTTTGCTCCCAGCTGGTTTTGAGCCTCCTGGGAAGGTCGGAGCCCAGCCCATTGATCCCTGCTGGGGAACCTCCCCCTGCCACCACTGCGGGGCAGCACCACCCCGAGACTCTTGGAGAACACCCAGTACCTCTGGGCTGATCACAGGGACCTCCGCTTTGCTTCCACCCTCCACATCGTTCCCTTCACGTTGGCCCTTTAGGATGGTGGCAGCACAGTGGCAGCAAGGAGTGACCCACAGACGGGCTGTCTCCACACACAAACCTGTGTGTAACCCAGGCCACGGGAATCTGGGTTTAACATTGAAACAATATAAGAAACAATCCCAAAAGATGAAGAAAAAAAAAATATTCCTGACTAGTACTGCATATGAAGGAGGAGAAAACAAGTTCACTAGCACTACGCCATGTCCATGTGTGTAAGCAGGCAGTATTGTGTATATCAGCTTTGCACTTCCCCATTAAAAAACCTGGGTCTGAATTTGTTGTCAGATTGGCAAACTGGTTGCTGATGCTGGAGTTCCCAGTGTTAGGCACATGTTTGAGACTGATTTTATTAGGCATTTGAGCCCGGTGTAGGGAGACAGGCATTAACTTCCGATGAACTGTGTCCCCAGTTTGGAGCAGGAATCTCAAATTACCTCAGCGGTGAATCCACCTCACTGAGAACACACGTAAGAAAAATGGGTGTTTGCACATATATGAGTGAAGCTTCCCTGGATGAGGGTGTGGGAATTTCAGCTGGCCTGTAGCTCCTCGTAAAGAGACAAGAAGAAGGGCCCCTTTCAAGAGAGAGGCCTCTCTTTCTGTGGGGAGCCACTGGGAGTCAAGGCAGTGGAACTGGGAGCTAATAAAATCCAATTCCACTACGGAAAGCACACAGAAGATGGTTGTTACCTGATGTTGCAGAAGATTGTTCCACTATTCCAACCTTCACCACCTAGAGGGGGGCAAAACAGAAGAGCTCTATGAAACAGGAGTCCCCTGAGCTTTGGGAACCCCCAAACTAAGCTCATCCCTACAGCCCCCCTCGGCACTGTCCCTGCAGTCAGAGTAGTGCTAAAGTATGTTAAAAAGTGGAGTCTTCTAAGACCTGGGCAGGTCCCAGCAGTGTCCAGCTGAGCAGTACCAGCTCACGACCCTTCCCTGACCTATACAAAAGACAGTGCAGACCCCATGGAGCTGTTACAGACCCACGCATCTCTGAATAGCCCATTGTCAGCCCCAGGCTGTGGTAACTACAGTGGCTGTCTGTGACACCTGTGGGAATAGGGCAGGGAGGAGAAAGGAACATAAATATCCCTTTAGCATTGCTTTGATACACCTGCTAATTACAGACATGCTGCTTCCACCGCACAAGTGCGGCCGCTTCTAGAGCGCAGCATAGTTGGGGTTTGTTAGGAAACCGCAAAAGCAAAGTACAGTTTCTGATCAGAGTTTTCTAGTCTCCAAACAGGAAGTGTCCGTCAAAGAAGATAAAGCTCCTAGCAAAGCCTCTGGGCACAGACATGGACAAACCACCATAAGGACAGGCCAGAACGATCCCAATCACAATGTCATAAGGATACAAATGTGCTCTGATATGGGCAACCACCAGCTAGTACGTTTGCATTAATGATAAATGCCACTGGCAATAATTAGTGGAACACAGTATGCTACAAACACAAGCTCCCAAGAACATACTATGTCTAGAAAAATAAAATGACCTTTGGTGATATAAAAGCAAGGACCTTTCTTAGTGATAATCTGCTAATCATTACTCTTGACACTGCAGAGGAGACACCCTTGTTAAGGTCCTTAAGAAACTTATATCCAGCGCTAACATCTACCCTATATAAATGTTGATAAACCGGCAAGAGCTGCAAAGGGATCTCAAGTCAATAAAACTTGCTTTAGAATGAGAAATGATGTCACAGAGTCTATTTAGTTGGAAAACAGAAGATCGTTAAATTCATACATGACCATGTCTAGATCACATCTCCAGGGAGCGCATTTCTGTGCACTGGGATCAAGAAAAAGGACCTAGTCATTAGAAGCAAAAAACTTTGCACAGTTCAGAGTGCGGGGTGTGCATATGCTCAACACTAGATCCTGGAGAGCTTTCAGGCTCTCTGGTGGATTCTCTGTTTGCTCCAGTCTTGGAAAAGCCATTGCGAACTCAGCAGTGTGTGCAGAGGCTCCCTGAGGGAGCACTGGCTTGGAGGAAGGAGGCTGCAGCTCAGTTTGGCCAGTCTGCATCCAAAGGGCAACAAATCAGGCTCTGGAGTCCAGCAACCTTTTGTGCTGTATGTGTTAAACGCCAAGAGGATGTTTTGCAGACTGTAACTAGCTGTGAGCAAGAGGAGGCGAGGCAGAAGAGTTAGGGGAAGAACAAGCAACACAGAAAACTGCCTACAGACACCTTGATCTGCAAGCCAGACAGGAAATCTCTTCTGGCCTTTTCCCCCTTTCTGGCTGACCGAAGATGCTCGAGTGCAGACACATGGGAGGAAGACAAGGTTAAACACTTTCCCTTCCCTCCACTCAGGGCGCGGCTCGAGGCTGCCGCAGTCCCAACAACGCCTCCATCCAGGAACACTGCAGCAGCCAGCCTTCTTCCTCTGCAGAAAGGAGGCACATCCTATTAACTCTCCTTGGCAACTGGCTGTTGGCACAGGGCAGGCACACAACCACGTGGCCTCACCACCAGGCTCTGGCTTTTGTGGCCAACTGGCCCCTTGGCTCCCATCACTTCCGAGCCTGGCTGAGCAGCATGTCACTGCCCTGCTTGCTTCTGGGTCAAAGACTGAACAACCCAGCTGCAGCACACCAGTTTTTGCACCCTAAAAGCCAACAGAGTCCAGCCAATGTCACAGGTTGCAAACGCAAATGTCACTGGCTCCCTCTTTTCCTTGGCCAACAGCTCCAAGTAGGCTGCAGCTGAGGGAAAGAGCTTTGGTGTTCATGTTCAGCCTCAGACTTTGAGACACACACAGCTGGCCTTTTAGAGTCTCTTCAGATGTGTCTCACGGGGAATTACTGTGTCAGTAACACTTGAGAAGCAAGAACAGGCAGCATAGATTTGATCCTCACCACCAGCTGACATAGGAAGTAATTCTGTGCTTTTAAGGCAAGTCTTTTGAGGGGTTGGCAGCGTTATGCACACAACAGAGCTGTTCATTCTTCCCACTTTTAGACAATCAAATCCAGACTGGAAGCACATTGCTAAATGTCAGGACAATAATTGTTTTAGAGCAACTGGACAAATGCTCCGAGCCCCATTTGCTTGCACTTAGCACTGAACTAAATCAGCCCCAAAGAAAAGCTGTGCAGAGCCTAGCAGCTATACCGAGACAAGTCAGTAGATTTGTTAGACGTGTCAGAGTAGATGGTTATCTCAAGAACACTGCAGAGAGACTCTCACCCCAAAGAGACACCAGAGTGAAATCAGGGTCAGCCTGAGGGCAAGAGAAACTAAGCTCTTTAAATGCCTTGGGATTTCAGATTAGCTCTGACGCACTGACAGGGATACAAACTACAAATGGGAATGCACACAAGTCATCTTAACACAGAGAAGGCAGAACAAGACAGCCAGCATGCAAGAAAAAGAAATTGCAAGAGAGCAGGAAAAATTGTGAAGAGGACATCCAGTAGCTGAAGAGTAGTCAGAGGACATCCTTTTGGCCCCAGATCAATTACTTTATACCTAAAACTTAATGAATTGAAGAGCATGATCAAATAAAGGGAGGGAAGCTCGAAAAGGCAAAGTACACAGTGCACAAAATAAACTGACAGAAGCACAAACGCACCCCTGACTAGATACTCTGCACTTGGCCACCTGAGCTGGGAACATTTAAAGATAAGGACAGGAAGAAAAGTCAGGGACTACTACCCCAAGTACATATTTACATAATAAAATGCATTGCATAGCTACTGCCCCAGACTCAAATTTAACAGTTGTAAAAATGATCAACCCGGTGGCATGTACCCTCCACTTCCCAGGAGTGGACAGGATATCAAGAGGACTGAAACTGTTCACGACAAGCACACAGAGGACTGACACTGGAATATCAAATCTGGCCAAATCAATCACCCAGGGCAATGCTGGGCACAGCAACCCTGAGATCAGATTTCCAGGAACACACCATCTTCCTCTGCACGTGGCCCAGCAGCAATTCTCCGGCAACTAGGTGATTTGGTCTGCAGCAAACACAGGCTGTGGATCAGAGCACTTCAAGCGTCACACCTTCCTTTCTGTATTGAATGAACAAGGCAATAGCAAGGCTATGGTACCTGCTTCAGTGCTGGCAGGCGTGCAGCACAGAGCTGCCTGGAAAGTAAAATGCACCCTGTAGTTTGTTGAGGGGTCTTAGAGGTTTGCTTACCTACCAGGCAGCTGCATCCAGCCATCAGATGCTCGTGCTGACACTCTACCTTAAGGCACAGAGTACTCCTGCTGTACCCCATAAAGCAGGTGAATTTGGGTTAACACTTGTGGGCATATTGTAGCTGGCTTGAGACAGCGTAACTAAGAAAACACTCACCCCGACAAAGGGAATGAACTTCTGTGAAGATTCTTCGTCAGGGCTAAAGGCAAAGAGAAAAGAGTTGTTAACAGCTTGTTTCCACACGGGCACAATACTCACTTTATAAGTTGCATTCAAGCATGCAGCAGGGACGGACAGTATGCAAGCGCCAGTCCAATGTCTCCTCTCAAGGCCCCCTGCCAGCACGCTAAGAATCTGCATGGGTGGGGAAGAGCACGCAGCTTATGGCACATCTCTCAGGGGAAAGGGCTCTTCCTCCCTCCCTCACGCTTGACAGAGAAACATGCTTTAATGGCATGGCAGTCAGTACAGACACACGACCTCCTACTGCAAGGAAACGGATCTGTGCCACAACAACACGGAGAACTGTGCGTTACTTACTAGTACCTGAAGCGCTCTGCACGCATGGCCTTCACGCGTCCCACCTTTGGAGTCATGTGCCATACCTTGCATATCCCAGCATCGCTAAAGCAGTTAGCCTGCCACGGGGTTACAAGCCGTGACACGTGGTTATTTGTATAGCACTAGCAAGTATGTACACACACACACACGCGCACGCACGCAGACAGATACACGCTCCCGGCCACCGGGAGCTTGCAGTCCCTTAGACTGGCACACTAGAGAGGTCGGACACCAGAGCACACCGGGTAGATCAGGACACCAACTCAAGAACAGCAAACGGCTAAACAGAACCAAACAAAATGCACATCGTGTCCCAGAAACAGCTGAAGACAACACTATACACGTTTTGAAAGCAGGAAGGCATCAGCTCCTGTTCCGGCCCTGCCCAGGATTCAGAAGCCAGAGGGTGGAGAAGGGCCAGCAGTGAAGGCCACAGTCAAACCTAGCAGGAATTAGGGAGAGACTGAACAAAGACAAGAGAGGGAAGACGCGAGTGAAGAGGAAGGCAGGCTGGCAGGGCCTGCAGAGCCACTGCTCCCTTCAAGGGCAATGGAAAAGAAGACGGACCCACAGGGTGAGGAGAGGACTGCAGGAGCATATCCACACGTTCGGAGGAATTACAGTTCAGCGGTGGAAGCGACTGCATGGGCAAGACACACAACGTTTCTCAGTGGCCAAGCACAGGAAACAGGCAAGAAGCAGACTTGAACACCAAGATTTCTCATGTTTCTCTTTTTTTTTTTTTCCCCTCAGTGCTTGGAGCACTGCAACATTCAGAGAAAAACCATCCAGCATTGCCTTCATCCAGAATATTGCTGGGTGCAGCACAAATACTTCAGGAAAGCAGGTATTTCTGTGCTGTTTCCAGCAGTGAACTGAAGTGAACACGACTCAGCCAGAGCTCCCGCTTGGTCCAAAGCAGAATGTGCTTTTGCAAATAGCCTCTTGCTTTGGCTCAGCTCTGCTTACTCATCTCTGAGGCAAAGCCAGGGGCTTTGCTCCCTTCCTACCTCACAACCCCCAGCACTGCATGTTCATTCTTCCCCCAAAGCACGAGACAAAATGACCGAGTCCCTGAATCTGTGTTGGAAGCCAGAAAGGTCACATCTTTCCAAACATGACTGCAGGCCCCACAGCAAATAAATCTCCTAAGAACATGACGTCTCCAGCTCCAGTTTTGCAAAGGGAAATAAGAAACCCAGAGAGCTGTTGGGTGAAGCACAGAACAGAAGCTCATCTTTCTTCTCATTCCTTCAGCTCCACGGGCTGTGAAGCAGGCAGAAGTGGGTCCCGCTGACCAACTGAAGGAAGCACAATAGTCACCTGGTCATCTGTCAGCTACTGGATGGCTTTGCTCTGAGCTCTCAAAGAACAAACCATGCCCAATTCCAGCAGAAAACTCATTCTTGTTCCCCCTAGGAGATCAGACTCCCACTGAAAAGAGCTCAGGGGCAATTCTGAAATAAATAATTTGCTTCATTCCCCATTTATCACAGCTCACAGTGATGCACAGACTGTTCCTGAAGCAATCCAGCTGGATTTCAGCTCGGCTAGCCTAGTCTTGTCACACGTCCTCTTGGGATTTCTGATCTTGCACATGTGCCTCTGAAAACGCAGTTTATCAAAACAGCTGCTCTTCATGTGGATGAAAGAAAAGATGAGATGACCATGCTTGCTCTCCACTTCCTCTTTCATGCTCTTCCCCGATTCTTGTGCTTCGGGACCCCAAAAATATTAATCCAGAATCCTTTCACCTTGATAAAGGTCTCTTCTATTCCTCCTACCACAGCCCTGCAACTAAAATATCCTGTCCCTGGAAAGGCAGCTCCCCCTTATTACCTAGGTTCCCAGGCTGCAGAGGTTTTACCCCCATAGTGATGTCCAAGGTATTGGTTTTATCCATAGCGCTTCTGAAGGCCCTGGTATCTCAGATATAATTTAAAACCAGACCTGACACTGGTTTCTGATTTAATAGTGTTGATTCTTCACCTCTGTAATTCTGAGGAGAAAAAAAAACAAAACAAAACCCAACCAGCCAAAAAAAACCAACCAACCAAACAAAAAAACTAAACCAAATTATGGGGGGAAACAAAAAAAACAGACCTATACAGAGAAGCAAGGGAAAAAAAAAAAAAAAAAAAAAAAGAAAAAAATCTTTATCTGGAACAAGTAGCTGTCTAATTGTTATTTTTGCTTGGGCAAATTCCATCCACCTGCAATCAGCCCTTCAAAGGTAAACTGTCCACAAATGGACTTGCAGGCTCCCTCTCTACCCCAAGAAATTAGAACAAGAGATGGAACAAAGACATACAGCCAGATTTATATCTTTTAGGGTTCTTAGAAAGGAGAAGCTGCCACCTTACCAGGAGTCACCCACCTGACAAAGGGAAGGAATAATCTCTCTCACTTCTGAGGCAAAGTACAAACTAAGCTGCAAAGCACCCAGATATTACAGTAAGAGGGAACAGAATAATCACTTAGAGCAGTTATGCCAATTATTAGCCTTTTAGTAAGATTTCATTTAAAATTTAAGCAATCCAAAACAGATTCAAATGAAGCCAAACAGCTGTGATTTCCTAGCAGAAGGGTCTCAGCTACTACCTTTATTCCAGGCAAGTCCTGCAGGGCAGGCAGCAGGAAAGAGGGGCCGAAGGACTAGTAGACCTCTAAGCCATTTCAGGCCAGGCACTGCCAACAACTCTCCAAGGTTCATCTTTGGTAGGAAGCATCTGTCCTTCCCACTGGGCAACTGTAGCTGTTTGCTGGCTAACACCGTCCCTGTTCCACCAAGTCTTCAGTGGACAAACCAAAGGGACAAAGAGACTCTAAGGCCTCATGACACGTCAGATGAGTCGCCCCTCCAGCACCTTTCATGTTCCTACAGCGGGTTGGACATCCTCAACAGGACATCCAGCATTTCTTGAGCCTTGATTCTCCTCTGCCGCGCTGCTCTGCCAGACAAGGGGCACAAGCAAACTCCTGTTACGTCTCCACCAGCTGCCGAAGGAGGTTCATGCAGCAGCCAGATGACATCGGCACTGCTGAGACAGAGGAGGGACCGGCTCCATCTTCACCAGCTGCGTTCATGTTCAGCAACTACTGCAGGGTGTGTTTTAGAAGCAGCGCTCAAGAGAGGTGATCTGGACTCTGCCTAGCCACTGCCCTGCAGAGCCTCAGAGACATGCAGCAGGCAGAAAATGGTGTTACCCCTGCTTCCTACTGCCCAGGAACCCACCAACCCAAGGCACTCGTGCTTCAGGAAGCAAGAGTCAGGGAAGTGCTCTACAACACACGACAGCAAAGAGTTTTGGTAAATGTGTAACTAGGTAGGGAATGACCCAGCCCTCACCTTGACAACTGAGCAATGCTTTTATTTCCAACAGCTAAGCTGCCCCCCAGATTCACGCAAGGGCTATATTGAGAAGCCCCATGGCATAAGCTGCGCTAGACACTGAATTACAGTGGGTAACACCAGCCCAGGTTCACAGAATTGATCAGGAATCCAGCTACACTGGGAATGAGCATCCGTTGAATATTAAATCTCAAATACCACATGGTTTCAGTTCAAGAAAGCAAATCAGAGAGATAGCAACATCAATGTTATACCCCTCCTAGTGGAAAGCCCGCCTCTGCCACCATGGTCTCAGCTCCCCAGATGTTGCCTTGTCTGCAGTGTTTCTTGACAATTCAGTAACTAGCAATTCTCCTAGTGCTCACAAAGTCAGACACCCGGGGTAATGCAGAGGAGCTGAAATGATAATTATTTTCCTTCCTGAACCCCCTCCTCATGGACAGCCCCCCCTTGATTTCAGGTAAGGTCAGCAGATGCTCCAAAAGAATGGGACAAAGCTTTTGCACCATTGCAGTCCATCACAGGCAGTACATGCGCCAACCTTTTGCCATGACAAACAGAACAAGGGGACATGAAGGAGAGCAGAGGTAAGTCGAAATAGGGATAGCTGGCAATAAAGTTATAAAGCAGCTCACCACATATAGCTATGTCCTAAAGACTGACTTGGCTTTCCTTGGACCACTAGGGCGTGTTTAAGAGAGCAAATGCTAGGGTACTGGGAGATTTGTCTTGCAATGAGTTTGTAGGTAGCACTGCTGTTTCTACATGGACCACTGCCTTGAAAGCTGGCCTTGGAGAAGCCATTTACCACTGGCCTCAAGGGAGAGGGAGTTGCAGTCACTTTGTGAACTGCCAACAAAATAAACAATGTCCAATAATCATATGATTCAAAGCCGGGGACCCTGCAGAGCAAGAGGGTTTTGGAGGCAGCTCAGAGAGCACAACTCCACTGCTAGCATACATTTATCTTCTCTTAAGCTCAGAGAAGTCCCATACGTTTGGGATATCCTACCAGCAAAAGACTAGTCCTCAGTTTTTTGATTAGAGGGAGATTTGCCGTCTGCACTTGGACACTGCACAGCTGAATCCCCACCCTGAGCCACTGAGTGCCTCCTACAGCACTCCAGTTCCAACAGATGGGAAGTGAAAAGACTTTGCTCAGTCCTGATCCTTTTGGAGTTACACTATATCCTCTGATGGCTAGGAAGAAAAAACCCTACCTTCTCCAGGTTTTACTGCTCAAAGCTACTCAATAACCTCTTCATTCCCAATCCATCTACATCCTGGGAACCCGTATGCGTGGTCCAAAGGCAGAGCAGTCATTTCCAACAATGCATTCTGCCAGCATATGCCATAGTTTCAAAGCAGCAAGCAGAATTTAACCTAAAACACAAACTGTGCATCCCAGACCTGCAGGAACTGTTAAACAAGGCACAAAAGACCAGTTCATGAGGGAAAAGAGAGAGGAGATGAGAGAGGCAACCTAAAAGGAACTGATACCTTATGGTAAAATCAAAATGAAAGCTCTTTTTCCTTTTCAGAAAGCAACCAAAGAAAAAGATAAATAAGTTATTACACTTACAAAAAAGTGATGCATTCATTTAGATAGAGCTAACGGAAACACAATTTCTGTGTTGATTCTCACAATACCCTCCCCTAAGTTGCTGCCAATGACAGAGAGCTGCATTTCTAAAGAAAGTCACACAGGGAGATAACTGCCCACCACTCCATGGGAGAGCTTGTTCCTTTAACTCTCCAGTTTGCTCAGGGTGTACTTAGATGAAACTAGAAGTTATTTTAAAGCAGATACAACAGAGATACTAAGGAACTGCAGGCTATGCCACGAGTCCGACAAAGTCTCGTCAGTCTCTTCCAAGTAACCTTCTGCAGGGTTTGAGCCTGATTTAAACCTATCAACAGCTTTAGGCACGGCACCACCAAGTCCAAAGGGTCTAAAATCCAAATGGATCAGACCAGCTTGGTGAAGTGGTCATGCACAATGCTGCGAGGGCTGAGTGCATGTGTTGCTGAAGTACATTTCAGATATTTTTCAACGAAGAACCAAATGGACCTATCTGGGCACATTAGAAACTCAAAATGATTAAATGTGTGTAAATGATAAAAAAATGAACCTGTAACAGAACGGAGGAGGCCGTGGAGACCAGTGCAAAACCCAGCAACCGAAGGGTGCGGAGAAAGAACAAGCAGCCATCAGAAGGGGTTCACACTGCACTAGGGGTGTCTGAACTCAGTGTTGGTAACTAAGGTAAGTCACCACACTAAAAACAAAATAAAAGACTGAAGCTAAGAGCTTTGAGTACCCTGTGGCTCTCCAAACTTCACCTTTATCTGGTTATCATTACAGAAGTTCATTAATTTATCAGTCCACTCTTTAACGGACTAGTCAGTCTGGAAATATTTTCCCTTGGAGAACATGAAGAATGGGCTAAATTTTACTGAATCATTTCTGCAAAGCAATGTGGAGCAGACACAGGAATGGAAAAGCAACACACTATGAGCATTTCCGAAAAGAGGGATAAGTGACTTTATCCATGCCTTTAATCCTTCCCAGTTTTTATGCAAAGGAGGCACACATGAAGGGTGTTAATGGACCAAAAACTAAAGATCAGATATAATGTGGGAAGGGTAGTAATGAACAATCAACATCATCTGTGCCTCATATGAGATTGCTAGTCCCTAATCAAGAAAAATTAGGTGAGTGCTTGTCCTGCTTTCAGAAATTATTGGGATGTGAACTGGAGTCTACTATGCCTCATAAACAATGCATCTCTACCTTTCAGTGACAGCTACTCTTCTTCCTGGACCACAGCCACAAGAGGCTCTAGGTACTTCTGAATCTTGTTTTCACACCCCAGTCCTCCCCCCTACAGGCTGCTTATCCCTTAAGAAAGGTCGAAATAAAACCTGGTGAATGTCAGCCCTCCCCAGTAGGAGTCATGGTAGCCTGCAACTGCCAATCAACAAGGATTTTGTCTCTCCTGCAAGAAGCCCTGCTATTTACACTCCAAAAAGAAAGGGTTTCAGGTCTCATGCTGCAGTCCAATCTTATACACCTAAGGTCTCTGTGGTAAGAGATCTCTGGAACTTAAGCAAATATAATCTGTCCATCTCCCATCCTGCCTAGTCCTCACTTCTCCAAACCTCTCAGATCTTCAAAGAAATCACTGCACTTAAAGTAACCACACTGTTGTAGATTCACTGTTATCTAAGTAGGACACATCACTGGGTGCAGGCTACCATAAGGCTCCCAAGGTGTTTGCAATTCAGAGTGATTTTAACACTGCTGGCATTGAAGATGAGAAAAGCACATTGCTTTGAACCTGATGGTCACTCTGGAAAGTCAGTATTACTTTAGTGACATACCTTTTCTGCTTGTACGTCAGCATCGCTTCAGCAATGGGCAACTGGTGCGCACAGTTTGCCCCTGCTATATACTGCGTTATCCGGGAGACAACGTCAGGCGCTTCTGGAACTGCAACAGAACAAAGAGAGATAATAACTTAAGTGACTTCTCAGACCATCACCAGCACTGCGCTCCAGATGCTTAGCCACGCAGCTGATGGTACCCAGCCAGCTGCCTTTGAACTGCGTTTCCAAAGGAAGCTCTGCAGCCTACCTCAGAGCACTGTAAAGCTGTCTGACCAAAAGCAAACATCCCACAGGAGCACAAAGGTAAAAACATTAGGAAGGCACACTAGGTACACAGACAACTGTACACAGCATTATTAAGTATTGTGGTTATTTTATACTTGTTAAAACACTTTTCTTTGAAAATGCATACCTGCCCAGAGTCAGCTTTAGACTTTTTCACACCTTGACAGTAGGTATCTGCTGAAGAAAGTGCCCAACCATCTCTCCCAGGGCCTTGGCGAGCTGCTCTGCTCACATCAGCATTTGAGTTACCTGATTTCCTAAAGAACTAGCAGCCTTGCTGAGCCAACTGAAAAGACCGAGAGCCAGGCAAGGGTAGGAAGAGCACAAAGATCATGCATGTAGCAGGAAGTATGCTTCAGATCTGTGGGATTGTGTTTAAGCTGACAGGAAGCCATTTCCATATTTCTTTGCTTTCAAGCGAAGACCCTCAACTGTGAGATCAAGGGAATGCAACTGACCTTCACCAGGCACTTGCATACCTTAATGGGCTTTTTAACCAAAACTCTCTATATTTAAACAGCGTACTGTGAAGAGCCATGATTCTCTAGCAGATCTTCTTATGCCATCACGGGGTTTCTGTGCAGTTCTCACTGCACAGATGAAAACGGAGAACCTACAAGGTCTGGACTGCAAAAAAAGGGACTGCATTTTCCTCATAGCACGCAGGCAAATAAATAAGGGCTGCAGCATACAACCAACTAAAGAACAGATATGGCTCTTGAGCTCGATTTCTATAGCTAATGAAGTATTCCTAACCCAGACACAAAACCCAAGACTGTATTGACACCTTTGTCTGCATTTTCAAATACAGCAAGGAATTAAAAGAAACTAGTTCTAGACATGTTCTCCCACAAGCTTAGAATCAACAAAAAGCATAGGTTGGGTGGAACATTAGGAGATGTCTAGTCCAGCCTCCTGCTCCAGGCAGGGCTAACTTCACCTTCAGAGCAGGCTGCCCAGGGCCTTGCCCAGCCAAGTTCCCATCTGCTGGAAAAGGCTCTGAACAATCACCTGCAAAGAGGTCTCTCTCTCCTCCTCTCAAAGCTAGAGGACTTCCAGGAGCATCCTGGGAGCCTCAGCCACTCTGCAATTCCAACAGGAGAACCACACTGCAAACCTCCCCACCCTCATGGTGCTCCAAGAACTCCAAAGCTTTTTACTTCTAGTGAAATTTCTGTATGGATACGCTGCCATGAAAGCATCATTCCTCAGTCAAGTCTCAAGCCTTCATGTAGCCCTAAATGTCAGATGCAAATCCTCCTTTCTCCTGTTTCTTTCCGTTCTTGAAGGAAAGGATGGAAAAACTGTAAGCATTAATATTTTAAGCGAATTAGTACTTTAACACACAGTAAGGCTTTATCCTGACCTAGAGCAGACTCAGATCAGAACAGGAACTTGTTGATCTGACCTAGGGCAGCTCTCACATGTTACAACACTGGTGAAGAACAAAATTCTTCCTTAATGAGAAAGATCCTGGCCAGCAGACTTCAGAAATGTCAAGGTCATTCTCACACACAACTAATAGAAGTTAATCTTCTCAGAGTTTCCAGTTTTCCAAATCTCTTAGGCTGGACAGTTTCTGAAGGGCCAAAGAATATACTAAACTTGGTAGTGAGACCCCCACATCAAAGAATATAGCTGAGATCTAGGTAAAAACAGCATGACTCAGAGACAGCTAGTGCCTCTGGGAGCCCACAACTGTTTGCAAACCACCACGTGGAGAACATACAAAGGTCAGCATCTGAAAAGGGAATGTGGTGGAGTGAGGAGAAAAGAGGAACAAAACCATTTGTCTGCTTCCTCTTGTATTTACTTGACCTTTGCTAAAATTACTCATTCAAGCCTTTTATCCCACACAGGCCAGACACAGACACATGGTCTTACCAGTGGTCTGTGCTTCAAGTTTGTTGAACAGATCTCTCCAGGCTAGATCTTGGAAGAAGTTGTTGTATCTATAATCTACAGACCCCAGATACTTGGCCACTGGATGGGAGCCTAAGAAAGAAAGGAAAACATGACAGTTGTTCTTCCCAACACACAAGTGTGGTTTTTATCAGTAAGGTATTAAATTCCAAAATAAAAACTACACTAGGCACCCCAGAAATAAATTTCTTCAGTTATAACCAAGTAATTTAGTCTAGCTTATCTCTACAAGAGCATGCAAATAGACTTCCCAGCAGAGAGATTGCTTCAACACCACTTATATCTTTCAGTGACACCTCCTCCTTCCCCCCCGCCAAATTAAATTTTAAAAGGCCAAATAAAACAGGACTGGGAAACTGCTGAGGAAATAAATGATTTGGAAGACACAGAAGCCCTATGGCTCTCCATCTCAGTCTCTCAGTTTTGCAAGCAGCTTTCTCAGCAGCCCTTCCTGCCCACAGGCTGCACTGTGCGCACCGCAGCCGGGTCACCTCTGCCAAGAGGAGTCGGATCCCTTCCTCTCAACACCATTCCCACACCGTGGCTGTTTTGCAATACCGAGAAGAGGCAATTGTCCCCAACAAGGAAAAACAACCCAGGGAGGCTTGTTTAATCAGTGGAGAAGGACTACAAGTTCAATAAACAGGCTGCAATTAAAGACAAAAGGCAGAGTCCAAGGATTACAGTCCCCACTGAATGCTGGCATGTGTCAGGTCCCTGCTTGCTCTAGCTAAGCCTTGCGGCTCCTCTGTGAACACGGAAAGACCTCCTTGCAGGAAGTTTGTGTGTCCAGCCTCCAACTTGCAGCCCTGGACGGAGATCTGACTTCTTATTTATACTGAGCAGTTGAGGGAAGGCGTTTAAGTGACAAACTTGCCCTGAGAGGTGGTGAAAATTTGCCATCTCCATCTTAGGCCACGGGTGTCTCCAAACCCAACAAAATGGCTCGTGCAACTACCTCTCTAGTTTTTCAACACAGGAGAAAAGGTGTCAGGGCTGCACTTTCCAGCCACCACATTTCAGTCATGCTCAGCATGAGTCCCGTACATTTACAATCAGCCATGAAGGAGTCTTAGAGTTCCTCCTAATCAGCTTATTTTAATCCTTTCTACATACTGAATTCTCACATCAAGCCACACCTCCAGAGACTGCAATAGCAGTCATCGTCTAGTAACTGGTAACATGACAACTCCTTCCAAGAAGACCTCAGTTGCTTAACTATACTCACCATCCTCCAGTAAAGCTCATGGTGGAAAAAACCCCAGTGTCTTCTCTCAGTCCTCCAAACCACTGCTAACTTCCAGACTTCCAGGAAAGGTTCAAGCAGACTGTCTCTCTGAGGTCTACCCCCTGTCATTAGAGACTGGGGCCTAAGTTCTTTCCTGGACCCTCCTGATCACGGCTACTTTCAGACCCATCATTTCTTTTGCAGTGGAGTTTTAAACAGTACGTGTGGAACTGCTCTGCACCATGCACTGGAGGAGCTTTCCCAGATGCTGGGAAAACACATAGCAGGTGCAGTTGAAAACAAGTACTAAACGTGAGGTGTCCCAAGAGGTTCTACCCATGGGAGATAAACAAAATGCTAAAAAACCCCAAACAGCCAAAATAAAAGGGGCAAATAAAATAGAAAAAAAGGTTGGGGGTCAAGTTGTTCCTACACTGGTTTGGACATCAAAGGAGTCTTTCAGTCATAGAATCAGAAGCATGAAGCAGGACCTAATCTCCCAGTATGGATGCTTACAGACATTAATCATTTCTCATTGTTAAAAAACCACTGCAGGTTAACTCTTCTGTCATTGTAGTACGTAGTTGTGGACTAAGAAGGTAAAACCATCCTACTTCAAAGGTGTTGCTAACAGCAAAAATTCCTTCCCTTTAAGTCGTTTATGGCATGGCCACCATTTGGTGCTTTTTCCAGCTGTCAGAAAAGAGAGGTTGCCCCTCAATCACTTTAATGAACTGCCAGAAATCTGGCCAGAAATAAGCACTTGATCCAATCAGGAAATACTGCAGACTTCTATGGGAAAGGCCATGTTAAAGAAGTTTCTATATTTAAAGTACATTTAAAAAGCATTCACAGTTCTGAAGCAGTTCCATTACCGAAGTGCTTTTTTTTTTTTTTTTTTTTTTTTTAATTACCAAATAAAGTTTGAAGATTAAAAAAACAACCCAAAAACACACTAGCTAAATCTTGTGTTTCACTTTCAGAGAGAAACATTTTCAGATCATTAAAGACTGCAGGACAGAAAATTCTTCTGAGGCCAGGAGACACTCAGCATATGAAGACCAAAGTCCTCAGTCACAGATTCTCATTCAACGCACATTTAACCTTCCAGAAATATTTTTTTTTTGTTTTTACCCCCTAAAGGGTGCTTTCTCCTCTTCCTGCCAACCACTTTGGAAACTAAATGCCTGCCTTACAGAAGGATCCAGCTCTTTTACTCTGCATTTTTCATGTGATTTCTGCAAATCCCACTACTGAATCAACAGGCCAAACCAGTGCCAGGCAGCAGCTTCTGACTCCTACAGCAACTGCCATCAGCTGGTCTCAAACCTAGAAGACTGGAAAATACTGAGAAAAAGTGCTTTTCAATTTTTCTTTTGCCTACATCACTTAAGTGCCGTGTTCACACAAGCCAAGCCTCAGGCTAAACCACCTTCTGGCATCACAGCCTTACAGCACCAAGGTGGCCCAGATGCCCCTGCCTACAAGCATCAGTGGCTGCCCAGCTTCCCAGGCCTCGCCGCTACAACACTCCTCACGCTTCTGACTACAACAAGAGCTCTAGCATTGTTATCTGTCCACTCTACTTCCCCCAACACAAGCGAGCCAAGCCGGCCCGCTTTCCAGCCAGGCAGGCTTGTTTGAGTTGCTGTAAGGGCAGAGATAAGGTCCTGGAAAACTGAGGGAAAAACCCAAGGAGAACAACACTTAAAGGAAAGGTCAAAAGATACATGTCATTTGAATAATTTAAACTCTCAGCAGTTTCAGAGCCTTTCAAAAATTTTCAACCCCCTCTCCTCTATAACATTTTCTGTGTCAGCCTCAGGGAGGCCAGAACAGTTATTGCTTTGGGAAACATGGTGCCCAAGAAATTTAAGATCTCAGCCACTGAAAGGGTTTCTAGAACATCATTCTATGCATTCATTGTACCACAATAAAAAGATATGTAGGAGCCTCCCTATATGGGGAGGACATATTCAACCCCTTGCTTCAAATGAAAGGTTTACAAAGCAGACTTTGGCATCAGGAACATAAAGATGAAATTCACTCATGCAAGAGCAGCAACACAAGCATTACACAACACAACAGCATGATGTTTGCCTCATCTAACAGCCATATACCTAGCCAAAGCTTCCAGGAGGGCTTCTCCTGAGGGAACACACCACATTTAACGCGTTCACCTTTCCATGAAGAAAAATTGTTCCTTATTTACCTAGAGGGATGATCAAAAATCTCATGTAGCCAAGCCAGTCTGGGGTTTTGTGAGACAGCTGCTCTACAAAGAGCCTCAATACAGCACTGAGGTAATTCTGGGCTCCGGCCACTGCAATTTTAATTGGGTTTGGAGGCTGCGAATTGCAGTTACAGCTAGACAGAAAAGGAGGAAACATATTCATAATCATACCAGCTATTTCTGAAGAAGTTAAAAAAAATATTGGTTAATAACAACCATGGCAGAAGAGAGTTCATTCATTACACAAGGCAATATCACAAAGATTATCAGCAGCTAACAACATTATTAATAAAATGCAACAATGTTCAGTACTTTCTTAATTGGTCTCCTTGCTCCTTCTTTCACACATTTTGATAATCTAAAGGGCTGGACTCAACTATCTAGGTTAGGATGTACCTACTGCAACTAACTGCTGTATCAGAGAACATACTCAGATATCCACAACCCTCACTAGGTATCTAGAGAATGCCTCGAGGAATACATCTGGGAATTACTTGGGGGAGGGAGGGAGCAAGAACTATTTAAAAACCCACCTATTAGCTTTGCAGGCTTCACTGGTTGCTAGATCTGACTTACAAGGCAGCCTCCAAAGCACAGTTTTTTAAAATCATCAGTGTCAATGAAAGGAGATTTGTATCCCCACTCATATACAGCAGAACAGCAACTTTGCAGGGCTGGCAAGTGCTGAGGAGCCACACAACTCTGACTTCAGGAGAGCAGATCGGGGATAAGTTTTAGAAGGGAGAAGTATTTCCATATGGGATGAAAATCTCCCTGGGCACTGGGGCACAGGAGCCGAGACTCAACAAACAACACAAGCAAGGTGAGAACTTACTATCTCTGTATCCTGGAGACAATAGTGCTGAAAGCTGCCTGAATATCAGCTGAAGAGCATGTGCAGACCACTGGCAAGGTATGCTTTTGCAAGACATCTGATAGGTACTGAGAAGAGAACAAAACATTTTATAGTCCCTTTTTTGGTACAGTTTGTCACAAGAAGAAAATCTGCCTCCCCCAGCCTCCTAGGTATTCGCACACCCAAGCGTGGGCAGTCTCCCCATGTCCAATTTGTGAGTGATATGGCTATTTCCCAAAACCCTCATCCTTGTGCAGCTGCCACAGGAAAGCTCTTCCTCCAGAAAAATGGAAACATTGCACCTTCTTGACAAATACCAACACTACATCCAAAACATAGCAACGACAACCCTAGAACAGCAGGGTTTTTATGGCCACAGAGAGCAGGGCAGCAGCAGAAGGCTGCTCACCTAGCAGACAGCACTGGGTAAGAGCAGATGCTGTCTACTCACCTGCTTCTGGAACTGCAGTTGCATCTCCCTCCGACTGCAAAAGGACTTAAATGTTCTGCCTACCCTCAAGCACTAAAAAAAGAGAAGGGTGCTACCAGCACACACGTTCTTCATGAAGGACTGCTTCCCCTTCATGCAGCTAACAGGAAACAAGTTAACGCACACCTCACGTATACATGGACATAATATTGATGAGACTCAGAAATTATCTCACACTCTCAAACTCTGCACCACTAACCTACACCTCAGCCAATGCTATCTTCACGTCCTCTGATACTGCAGGTATAAGCTGCTAAAACTACTGGAAGACAACCTACAAATGCTTTCTGTCCATCTCTACAAGGCATTTCTCTATCTTCCAAGCACAGAGAAACCAGAACTAGTAGCTCAGCTGGTATTTTTGCTCTCAGATATCGAGACCCTGGTTCTTCCAGAAGCAGAACACCAAACCAGACAACATAACTCCACAAGCCTGGCACAAGTTCTACAGGTGACAGTCACCCAACACATGTTTATTGGTCCTCTTCCTCTACACATTTTATTGCTTCCTCAAACTAAGGTTCCAAAAGGAGCAAAATTTGTTCCAACCCCATAAAAAAAAAAAATCACCCCATGTTGCCAGCATAACAAAGCACTGCTCAGGGTTCTCCTTAACACAACTATCACTCAGAAAAGATGGTGTGACGTACCTGCAGGCAGGAATCACAAGTATGTGTGTAAGGCAACAGAGCTGACCTGAAATACTTTCTCTCCTGCGTTCACCACCTGTGCTTAGAAACCACAGGTCAGTCCTCCCTGCTTCCTTTGTCCCAGTCTACCACAGCTGAGAAATAGGCTCTTGAGTGCAAGGGTATAGTCATTCCCAGCATACTGCTAACCAGAAGGAATGGCATTTTGTAGAAGAGAGAAAACCTCTGTGGAAAGACTCAAGGGGCAAAACTTTACAAGATCCACAGCATCTTCTGGTCAAACGAAATCCAATCTGTAGGCACTGAACACTTAGTATGCTGCCAGCCCCCACGCACCACCACTGCTCTTCCAACCAAGCAGCAGAACCTACTTGGTTAGTGGTAGAACTCAAGGCCTGTCCATTCCTGAGGAGGAACAGTGAAGGAGAACTGTGCTTCAGGTAACACCTCCTGCCTTTACCTGGCCTTGCCAGTCAGAAGTATTGACAAGAATAATGTTTTCTGGCAGCTGGTCATCGGAAACCAGGATGTGATTTAGTTGGTCATACACTGTTTTCCTGGGGATCTGGAAATAAAGACACAGAGAAGATAACAGTAGGAGATGTCAGCTCTAATCATTGAGGCACCAGCTCCAGCTCTTGCAATTCATGAGAGGAGGTTGTGCACGGCTGGCCAGCAAAGGCATGCTAGCAGCCACACTGGCTGCTGAGACTGACACTTATCAGCTTCTTCAATACTGCAGTACTCTGCACTCCCCAGTATTCTGCAGGGTCCTTTATTAGCAACCTTGCCTTTGCTGGCCATTATTTCTTCTGCCATGCACTTTTACTTACATCACTTTATACCAACTAACAGTAGCCCAAGGAATTTTGGATTCATAGAAGTCAGGAACAATCTCCTTCAAGAAGGGAGTTAAGTGAGTCCCCACAGCTAACAAAAGCATGGCACATATGCTCAAGTCAGTCCCCTTTTGCAATCCCTAGCAATTTGCCTTACTTCAAAGGAGCGATTCCTCAACACATCTCCATTCATTTCTCATCATAACAATCTGTTCCAGTGTTTATGGTGGGCTGACAAAATCCAGCAGACTGGATGGAAGATACAGTATCAGCCAAGATATAAATTCCCTCCTTCCCGAAGCCACAGGGCCCAGTTCCTTTCCAGCAGGGACGGCACTTGGATCAGAAGGGAAGGGACCACAGGAGACAGTTGGAGAAGAGAAAAAACTGTGAGTGGCTAGAGAGAGAGCAATGTTTTTCACACCTGTAAGTGGTGCCGGGTGTCTGGAGAGCGTTCATTGTCCAGACTGTTCGCTCGCTCGTTCTGTGGCCTCACTGGCTGCCTCTCCTTCAGAGATGTGCTCCTTCCCCGACGTCCCGTCTGCTTCCCTTCAGACCTGCTAGAGAGATGTGCTTGCATTCCAGAGCTGGCTCATATCTGAGTGAGATACATCCTGCAAATCCCAGATCACCCAGTCTGGCCAACTCAACAATGTGAGTGGAGGAATTGGGGAATCATGTACTTAGATCTGAGCTAGCTTGGGACCTGCTACTTCTGCTTCTGATAGTGCAGAGCACACAGTTCAGCTACAGAGCATGTTCCCAGGAGTCCCAAGCAGACTTCCACAGCCCAGGCTAAGACCCACACCACCACTCAGCTATTGCTACACCAGTGTAATAGGATCCAGCCATGCAAACTGCAGCCACACACCCAAAAGCAGCACAGAAATACCTCTTCAAGCAAACATCTATTTGCTTGCAAATGACCAGAGAAACTATATGGTGGGGTTGCTGAAGCCCACATTCACTACCCTGTTTGGGAAGGTTTAACAGGACAGAAGTCAGAACTGACAACCACCTTTAAAGCCAAAATCTGCATCAGGTATTGACATAGCAACAGTATCTTTGAGTAAGAAGCTCCATAGTTTTATGGAAACTTCCGTGGACATTGAGTGGGTGCAACACAGGATACAGAAGCAACCTCCAAGCAATGCTGCCCTTCAGGGTTCTGAGCATTCACGTGTCAAGTGCTCAAGACCCGATACTTAAGTGCCTGTACACTCCTTGCAGTCGGTGGCTTCAGGCCATCCTGAACAAGTGCTAGCAAGCTGACCACGAGCAGCCTTGCAGCAGGCACAGTGCTGTGTGACTGCTCTACCTGGTGGATGGGATAATGAGGGACTCCGTCTTAGTGATCTTCCCGCTGGGTGGGAGCTTCTCGACAAACACATCTGGTGTGGGAAGCTCAGCTTCCTGGACCTCAGCTTGCTGGTTAGACTCCTGCAAAAACACAGGGAACCGAGTTATCAGGAACAAACCCTCCCCTCTGTCTCACAACCACAAGGGCTGGCAGGAGGCACCCCAGCTTTGCTCCATCTGGGGCACATTCAGTCTGCCTCTTCCAGACATGCTACCCCCTGCCAAAAGGCAGAAGCCAACACTGGCTATCTGGGGCTACCAGTTCCCAGCTCTGCCTCACAAGGAAGCTGGAGGCAGGAGAGGTGCTCAGATGCCAGGAACATGCCTCCTCATGAAATACAGATCAATTCAGTTTACCCAAATGAACTAGCAGAGACAAAGACACGGGAGAAATGTTACAAACCGCATGTCCCCAGTAGAGCAACTTGAGCTTTGAGATTTCTACCCCAGGACCAGCTTGATTTCTGCCAATTCTGCTTGAAGTAATACTTCTGTCCGATAAAATCAAACAGCTCTGAGAATACTTTTCAGGACAATACACATGCTCAGCAGCATACATTGGGCCAGCCTTCCTCAAACCAAGAAAAAGGCTGTTTAAACAGGCAGCCACATAAAGCATTTCAGTTTCAAAAGGCTGAAAGACAAGAACCTCCGACAACTAAGGTCAGGAGGAGAGCTCAGCATTATCTTCACTGCAGCTAATGTTATTTATGTAAATTGTGCTGCATGTGCAACTATATGAACGGACAGACGCGTGCCACAGAATGCAGTTCACAGTTGACACCCGAACTGCTGGGCGGAACGTTAACCAATGCATTTCCAACTTACATAAGAGACAATGTCAGAAATACTGTCGCCTGCATGTTTGGTTCCAAGACTCTTTGTCTTTTCAGGCACTTCTACCTGCTTGAAAGGAGAAAAATCATTAGGAGGTATGGCACCAGCACAGTTTTCACTCACGCTCTGGATCAGGCTGTTCAAAAGACACGCTTCTCCATTTAAAAATTGCACAGCTCTGCAGGACGACTGGGCATACACCAGGACCTAATACATCAGTGTGGCATGTGGCAAAGCAGTAGCTGATGCACAGTACACAGTAGAGGCAAAGAAGTGCCCTGAATTGGACTGATATTCTATGCACCTTATATGCCCATCCACAAGGGGATGGGAAAAGGGGGTGAGATGCCCCTCAGCGTCAGCTCCCAGTCACCATGAAAAGTATCCCAACAAGGGATAGTGAAGGAGGTAAAGCTTCCTCCAAACAGCACCAAGGAGTCCCTAAATCTCCCAGGCAACATGTTATTTCAAGTACAGAAGAATCTGGAGCTATTCACACCATTAGCAAGTGTCCAATACATAACCTGAAGATGTCCTCTTGAGTTAACACAATATTTGGTTTTGAAAAAACAACCAAAAAACCCCCAAACACACCACCAATAAACCACCCCACCCCCACCCCCCAAAAAAAAACCCAACCCAAACAAACAAAAACAACCCCAAAACAACAAACATGCTTCCTTAGCACAAAATTCATATCTCTATATCCAAGTCTTTGGAGAAGGTCAGAGAGAGTGCTTTAATTTACACATGCAAATAGAGGAAGTGCAGGTCTGCTATATTAACTGCAGATAGATAACTGTCTTAAAACATGACTTACAGGACTTGATGGCTCTCTCTGGCTCCTGATGCTGTGGATGCTACCAATTTCTGTCTGAGAGCTGGAGTGTGACAGTCCTTCAAAATATGGTCTGAATAAGGAAAGCAAAATCAGTTTCTTACTAGCCCTGACACCGACTGACCAACCTTCATCTAATGGATCCCACATGTCACCTGCCACACAGCAGAACACTAATTATAAAGTTCTTACTAGGAACATTTGCACACTCTCACACTACGCACCAAGCAGCAGCTTTTGTTTCCATAAAGTCCAGGGTGGGCACGTGAGTCCAGCATTTTCTCCCAGCAGAACAGAATGCATATTCACCCCACACAGCAGTTGTGTCCTCACTACTCCAAGCACCAGGTGCAAAGTTTCACACTGCAATTCTTGTTTCAGCTTTCCAAATGCTGATTGAACTACATGCCATTCCAGACAGGGCCTAGCTCTTGACTGAAAGACAGCAAGTTACTGCCCCTCACTGATACTCTACTCCTGTGGGTAAGTGAGTCTTGGTGCTAATATGCATTTTATTTCCAGCTTGCATCTGGATTTGGCTGCCAGCCCTAGGATCCAGTTACACACTTGCTCAATCAGATAAGGTAGCACATACAATCAGATTGTGCTTCCACATAAAAAGACAGCTCATCACACCAGGCTACAAGACTCAATTACAATTTAAGAAACTGTTGGGTTTTTTTGTTGTTGCAGCAAAAATTGGACTACAAGCATTATCATTTATCACATCCCTTTCAAGATACAAACACAAGAACTGGACACAGCAAACCACAAAGTGTCTCCTCAGGACCAAACAGGCACAAAAAGTTCTTGTTCCAGCAATCCCATATCCCAGAACAGTTAGCTCCTTGGCTCCAGGGAACAGGACACAAGCTCTCAGTGTGTACAGTACATTTGGCTTGTTTCAAAGCAGCTGCTTACCACAACACATCTACTCCCAAATCCCTTCAAGGCCGGGCCTACCAACTGGCAGTATGTTGGGTCAAGCTCTAAATGCCTTTATAAGCCACCAGCCCCATCATTTACCACTGCTGCTCTAGTCTATCCTTGACATCTTCTGCCTCACTGATAGGGAACAGGTCACTTCAGACTCAGGATCTATTCTTAGCCCAACTAGGTTATTCTACGTTAATTAGGATATTGACACCTGATAATTAGCTGGCATTTAGCAGATACTGTACCGACCAACTGCAGTGGTAGACTTTGCTTGTTTCAGAGCCATTACAACATTGAAAGCCTGAGCATGCAACCACATGTCAGTCAGAAGCATGAGCACAGCTCTAACAGTCTCGTGTTTTCAATCTTAATTCATGCAGGGATGTGACACAGCTCTGTTAGGTCTGGGTTCTGCATCTGCTCAAGACCCTGAGCCAGCGATCCCCAGCTCAGCTGCACAGTGCTGTGATTGCCTATACGTCAGTGCCTACAACAGCTGGTTCAGAACAGGCTTGTGTGTATCTACGTGTGCTTCAGTCAGTCCCCATGGGCCCTGAAGAACTCCTTTGTTTCCCACAGTTCTGCTTCCGTAATCCCTGCAAAGACTCTCTCTCCACACAGGGTCTTAGCAGCTTTTCCAGAAAGACACAGTCTGCCTTGTCCATCCCTGCCTCTACTTCTGCAGCTTCCAACCACATCTCCTTCTGCCTTCCCATAGATTTCCTGGCTGTTTCTACCACCTCTTCAAAACACCCGTGTATGGCTTAAGTCTACTGCCTGCATGTCAGCAATTCCTACCCCTGTGCCCAGGTGGCATGGCAGGCAGAACATCTGCAAAAGGAATAAGGAAGAAATGACACTGCAGGGAAGTTATATTTCCCCACACTACCCCCAGCTCACAAGCAGTCATTCACATCATAACAACACACGCTAGGGCTCCGACACCAGGTCAAGAGAGGGGGAAAAAAAAAAAAAGGATGTAGGGGTGGGAATAGAAACATCTAATCTGTGCTGATACCATGCATGGTCTCTCTCTAACCCAGCAACAACCACCCCACACTTACTTTAACTTTGGCTTCGGAGTGCTCAAGACACTGTCATCATCCTCCATTTCTGGCCCACTGTCACTGGGGTTCTCTATATCCAGTGTGTCATACAGAAGGTCCAAGTCCTCCTCCACCTCTGGAACGTGCTCTGCTGGGTCCTGCTCTGAATCCAGAACCTACACGCAGGACAAAAGCAGGCATTGCTGACTGCTAGGAGCCAGACCAATCCCACATCACCTGAGCTGCCCTGAGGAGTGCAGCACAGCAGGTTTAGGCAAGGATATTATATCCAAAAGAAACACTAAATATACGAGAAGTGCTTGTTTTGCGTCAAGCTTGCCGGTGTCTGGTTAAGCAGGAGTTACCTACTGGACTAAGCACCCACAAATAAGCTGTTAATCATTGATTATGTCCATTATTCAACCCCATTCTATAAACAAAGCTTTAAAAAGGCCCCCAGTGGGATCCCAGTATTCTTAGAACAAGTACAGAAATACAGTACTTCCATCAGTGTAACCTGTCCTGGGTTTTACGGAAAAAATTGCCATGACACCTCCTGATTTGATACCCAAGCAGGTAGAAATGACAAAAACGTCCACAAGAGGCACCTGAAACCTGGACAAGGATCAGCTGCCACCCACATGCAAAACCAAAGAGAACAGATATCTCACACAAAACTTCCATGGGTTGCTTCACATATACACCAGAGTAAGCTGGCAGCTGTGGACAGTTCTGAGCTTGCTTTTTGAATGGCAGCTCCAGAAAAGCAGCAGCTCAGCTGGCTGGGACCTCAACTGTGGGTGCTGACTCTGCTGAGCTAACTTGGGAAGAACAGCAAAGCTAACAGGACTGTTTGGAAGTGTAACAGAAGCATGAGGACTTACTCTTCATCAGAAGCCACAAAATGAGCACACAGCCAACTGAGATGTTAACTGTTTTTATACTGGCTTCTTAACATTACACAGGTTTCTTGGGTTCTGGATCTCTTTCATTTTCAGCTCTGACCAGACAGCTGACTCCTCTGTGGATCTGCATTCCCTATCCAAGTTTTTCATGTCTTGCCTGGCTGTTCTAGTAAGATGATCAAACAGGCTGGGATTTAACTTCACAATCAATATAGACCGTTGACTGCTTGCCTTTGAAAGGGTCAAAGATAATTTCAAAACAGTCTGCAAAACTAATGGGTAGACACATGGTTGCCAGAATCTACTTTTGATAAAACTCAATCTAGAAAATGTTTGATGACATTTTGAAGTTGGCCCTCAAGCCTCCATGCAAGGCCAGGGTGTAAGGAAAGGCCACATCCACTGCAGACTTGGAAAAAAAAAAATGAAAGGAACTAAGGGGAAACAGGAGAGTGTTCCTGAAGACTAAAGCAAGATGCACCAAGCAGAGGGCAACACACAAGACAGGAAAGCTTACAGAATTAAATACTTACCTCATCAGACACTTTAAACCTCTTCAGCAATGCCACAACCTTCTGTTTGAAGTTTTGTTGCTGCAAGTCAAAGACACTGTTACATAAGTAAAGCGTCAAGTGAACGGTTTTCTCCCAGTCTGCAAGAAGCCCAGACACATCTGACACTGGTGCTCTAGCTGCTGCTTCAAATCAAACTATTCTTGGCTCCACAAACTCAGTCTCTGATGTTCTTATGTTGAAATTGGCTTTTCCACACCTATGCTACCTTCTTTCCTGCATTATAACAAACTAGGTCCCACTCCACCATCATAAATCTTCTGGCCCCGAAGGATGGCACACCACTGTTGGTTGGACACACAGCAGATAACAGATTATTTTATCTGCCAGATCACCTCCTCTACCTGTTTGATATATTTCTGGCAAACACTTGACAGTCAAGTTTTCTGATTCTTAACAAGGGTGAGCCACCATAGACATCTACCCACCGACCCAAAGTACAAACGTGTTTTCTACCAACAAAGCAGTGTTTTCCCCAGGAGCTTGCAGTTCATCCTGTCAGGCTCATTTATTTGACTGGCAGCACTGTAGAAAAGTTGTGGAGCTTGTCCTTAGCACTTGCCTATCAGAAAAATGCTTTCTGAGTCTGATACCCTCAGATCCTGGACACAACATGCACCAAGTCCAAAACAACACAAGCTAAACTGCTGCACTTCCTTTGTGTTTACTTGTCCCCAAGAGCCATCTCTCTCTTGCATGACCAAACAGTTGAGATTTGCCATGACCTGCCCCGTCCTCCTCTGTCTGTCACTGACCAACCTAATATGAACACTCCAAAGTAAAGGAAGATGAGAAGAGCCCAAGCATGAGTGTAGGTACAGAGCATTTGAGGGGGCATCCCTGCGTCAGGAGGAAAGGGAGGAAAAAAAGGCTGACAACAGGCCACTCAGAGCTGAAGAAAGTAGCTCATTTGCTGGCTCTCCTGTATCTCATGCAAGCTCTTCCTGCAAATCCAAATGCATGCTCCCACTGTGGCCTATGACACTTCACACTGCCCAATGCCTCCTGGCCCTTTACTTCTGAACTCAAGTCCTAGGAGCTGCAACCACCTTCTAGACAGTTGAAGTTTAGGTGAAATAAATCCACCAGGCCTCACATAATCTCCAAAGACTGCCCTATTTCTGTCCCCAGTGCACTTGTGAGGCCGAGATGTTCTCACGATAATGAGAGTTGTCCCCTGGCTCAGGCTGCTGAGCAAAACCATCCATCACACAGAGCACTTGGACCAGCACGGCCGTCTGTGGAGGGAGGGCACACAGCAAACATGGCAAGAGCTGTTTGCTGGCCTGAATGGCCTGACAGTTGGTGGACAAGGTGGCTCAGTTTGGAGCTGGGCTGATGTTAACTTAACTGGCAGCACCAAACCCAGTTTTGCACCAGTCCCACATGCTGGAGATTCAGTATCAGTTCAGAGATCAGGGCTAGAAAGACATTATTCTTGTTGATTATTAAGCAAGCAACTATCTCAAGTGGTGAGTTTTGTCCTGGCTGGTCACCAACTCCTGAAAACAATGCTAAGGGCACCAAGGATAAGAGTTAGCATATTCCTGGTCTCACTGAGAGGATCTTTTTAGTATCAGGTTTGGGTCAAAATAGGGTTTATTTCAGACCCTATCAAAACATGGATTTCAGAAATAGCCTCATAGGAGGTACAATGATCTCCAAATTTACTAAGTACAAAAAGAAACCTAGCTTATCCTGGTGATTCTGAGGTGTTGTCATCACAGATATGCATTAACACTCGCGTAAGCAGAAATGGCGTGGTCAAGCACAAGTCATTGCTCTGCGCAGAAGTGCAGCTTTGCAGGCATACCCATGCTTGCTGTGAGAGGTCGGATAGCTGCGTGCGACTTGCCAAAGCTTTCAATATCCAGCTGCTACTTTTGCCTCAGCACCACGTGCACCACCTCAGGTTTATCTGTCAAGCTCCAGCCTCTGACTGAGCTACTTCATTTGGAAACCTTCCCACTGGCCTCTCCCATGCAGAGCACAAACAGAAGAGATTCCCTTCACTTGAAGCTACTTTCAGGACCTACACAAGCATGGATTCTGCACTGGCTTCATTATGGGGGTGGAATTTCATACACTTACGTGATTTTTGAAGCTCCTTAACTTTCCAGCCACAGGACACTCAAAACACCACATACACACACCTTGGACAGTCCCATTCCCTGAACTGGCTGCTTTTGCTAGCTCTTCACATGCTGTGACCATGCCCCCAAGCTCTCTGCTGGGCCAGCATGTCTAGTACTGCTGCTCCCATAAGCCACGTGCACCGCGCATCCTGGCCAAACCCCATCAGTGTTAGTAAAACTAATTTCCACCGACCCTGGTTATGGACGTCGTTCTTACTATCGATCTCCGCTGCTTCTTGGGCTTCCCCAGCTCGTACTCATCATCATCCAAATCCTGAATAGAAAGAGGATTCCCATGTTACTTTTGTGATTTGGGGACACTTGAGCATTTAAGTGCTAAAAATGTCCCTTCTATAAAGATAAACCTGCTGCTCCATCTTCCAGGCTTTCCGCATTTGCCTTAATTGCAGTTATGATGGCAGATGGAAAAGGAAGTGAACCAGGAATAACAATCTGGAGAAGCAAAACAGCCCTAGTTCTACATTCAAGGAACAAGGATAGTCACAGCCCCACATTTTGGTGGGTTCCTCTCTCAGTGCCCTCCAAGAGGTGGAAGGCAGGTGATGCCACAGTCTGAAGATCCAAACTCAGAAGCATCTCACATCTAGCCAGGGGATTCTCTGTAAGGACCTATTTTGCAGAAGGTATTACAGACTAAAGACTAACTCGGACTCCACTGGCCCTTTGATTACAACTGGGGAATCTAGTTGGGCTCTTTGAATCCAATCAGCATGATGCCTTGACCATTAAGCAGAGAAACACACAAGGATGCTAATGTTTTATTGTTTCAAGGGAGCTCAAGTCCAAACACATGAACAGATAAATCACAGCATGGTGGAAGAAATGGGTTACTGTGCAACCCTTCTGCCACTGCAGCTAAACACTTGGTGACAGTCTCCCACTGTCATGGCTTTAGCTAAAGACATAGGCTTTTAGTTTCAAGCACGAGCTGAAAGCGTACACGCTCTACTGAAGCTCTCAGAGGGAGAAGCCATGCCCTAAACAGTAGTACCTGGCCCTGCACGGCATCATCACTGGCCTCCTGCTCAGAAGAGAAGCTCTCGTACTCTTCCTCGGAATAGTTGTCTGAAAGGCAAGGAAAGGGGAGAGATCCTGTGAAACTCCTTTAAGGTGAGGGGACAGTCTCATCTCATGAGCAGAGAAGGCAAACTAACAGTCACAAATCATGAAAGGAGGCACATACAAGGAGATGCTTGCTAGTTTATCTTCTATCTGTGCTACAAACAGTGAGATAGGAACCACCTGGAGATAAGGAACAAGGAGAAACACATCTAATGGGAAGGAAGGACCAGCACGCAGATAGGGCTCCTTGAAACACCACCCCCTTTTACCCTGGAAAGAACCACCTGGTAGACAGCAGCAAGTAAAGAGGTTTTTCCACAGGGGAAATTACTTTTCCCCCTAACATGGGCATAACTGGCTTAAAGGAGCAAGTAAGACATGCCAGGAGTATAAATCCTTTATTGAAATGAATAACACCTCAGGTGAGCTGTCTGGCCTCAGGCGACAACACACCAGCACCTGCATGCGCTGCCTTTAACAGGCCACTCTTCTAGCAGTGAGCAGAAGGCTGGTACCACATAAGAAGACTGTCATGAGTAGAAACCTAATCACTTCCCTATACAGTGCACAACACCATGGATTTATACTCATTAAACCAGGCCATAGTCCACAAAAAAAACATGTTTCAGGTTTGCAGGTTTCATCTAAGTTAATGAGATTTATTGTAGGATACGCAAAGCAAAAAGTTGTAAGAGTAGCTTAAATGTGGATTTCCTGAATACTGCTGTTAGCCAGGTGAGAAGCTATAGGTTCTCAACACACCCACCAGTAAAGCTGGAAGAATGCTGGTGAGAACACAGCTAACCCTTGTTGAATGGCTCACACCTGGCGTGATACGCAGGAGAGGCTTGGACAGTTCAATCCCCCGCTCCCGTCACACTCCCTGCTTACACAGCAACAGGTTTGTGAAGTGGATTTTCTTTGCATTCATCAGTTATAGAAACAGCAACTTGTGCAAATCAGTTCTCATTTGTCCCAGGAAGCATCTAAGCCCAGGTTGAGTTTAAGTCCAGCTGGTTCAGGAAGACACTGGTCCTCAGAGAATGTGGTTGTACTCTTACCTGTAGACTTGATTTTCTGGCTGGCCTGCATAGTGCTGTCTTCATGGTCAATTGGCTGACTTGACAAGGAGAAAATCCATATTTCTGCTACCTTCACTGCAGCCTCTTTGATGTTGCTGAAAAGGCTCAGGACCTGGCCACCTTCTGTTGGGTGCTGCATGACCTGGGACAGAAATTAAGCAGTACCAATCTGCATTTAAATGTATTTAAACTTGCATCATTTGCATTCTACAAGAGTTATTTATGTTAGAGTTATTTCACATTTCCAAGGACAGAAGCAAGCCAACAGCCTGCAACTGCAGGAGTCACTTGCAGGCAATACACACAATGCTGGTTGAGATTTTATTTAACTACTAATGGAAGTGACAGAAGGAAAGAAAAGGCATTCTGAGCTTGGCAGTTGAGTAGCTCATCCCTGAAGCACAGTACTTGACTACCTCATTATTATGTATTTGCTTCCACGCACAGTACTTATTGAATTATCAAGTTACCAACCTTCTGAACACCTAATTAAGGAACTTAATTTTGTGTTAGAGCCCAGCAGAAGGGCCAGTAAAAGCAAAAATTCTTCCTGAGATACAGATGCAAAGTGCTTCCTAAAGCAAAAAATTCCTGCTCCAGAGAGCTGGCACCTGAATCTCAGAGGAGCTGGCCACCCCAGGATAATGAGGCCGTGGGTCACAAAAGACAAGATAATGCTGGAGGTAGGACATCTCGGTGTGGGTTTCTTATTTCTTTGCCACTTCCAGCTCACAGGGCTCTCCCCAGAGCCTAAGACTTTATCCTCTTGTCTTGCCCCACCACACTCAGAAAGTGCTTCCCCACACCTGCACCTCAGCTTTCTAACACTCCAGGCTGCTTTGTCAGCTCCTCACATGGCTTTAAAAAGACCTGAGCTGATGAGGAACGTATGCCCCTCCATTCTTAAACTCTGCTCAGACTCAGAAGTCCAAATCATTACTTTGTTTCAACAGCTAAGAGAATGGGATTTGGTTGTTTTCTTTTTTTTTGTTTGTTTGTTGGTTTGTTTTTTTGTTTTTGTTTTTGTTTTTTTTTTGGTTTTGTGTGTGGGTTTTATTTTGGTGGGGTTTTGTTTGTTTGGTTTTTTTAAAGAAATGTGCCAGTGCTGTTTAGGGGTCATTATACTATAAGCTACAAAGGGAGGGGATGGACCTTGTAAAATTTGTTTTCCTCAAGTCTTCCTTTTTCAGAAATATTCCAGATGAGCTGGAGAGCAACGATTTCCTAACATAGTGAACCTTTGAAAATTTCTGACCTTCTAACCTCAGTCAGCTGACATTACAAAAAAGCATAAGAGAAACCACATGCAGCAGCAGCAAATGCCCAACACTTAGAAGTTTACTGATGGGTCTAATTAAGGGGCCCACATGTTTTCTGCCTTACAGCAGTATTTAATTTCTAGTTCTTAAACAAATCCAACACAGTATAGGAAAAATGTTAGCTCCAACACCACAAATCAGAATTTGGCTGATTCAAATGGGGAGTTCAGCATTTACTGCATGTCTAAGGGAAGCTGAACTCACACACAAGGAGTGGTCTTTATAATGAATTATTTAATATAGTAATAACTTACCACAGCATAGCGCTAGCTTATTTTGGATGGAAATGATTTGTTGACAGAATGCAGTTTGATGAAAAATACTGGTGTTAGGCTGAACTTGCTACTGCTAAACCCATCTCTAAATACTCAGAAACAGAAACAGCAGAGATTAAACAGGGCATGAAATAATGAAGTACGGAGCTAAGCCATTCAGTAAGCCTTAATGAATAATTCACCCATACTTGATACCAGCATTAATTTTCAGATGTAAATCTGAAAATTTTATCATTTCCCTCTCGTGAATAGAACTCAACGTAAATTACCAACAGCCACGAAATAAAAATTCCAAAAGGTGTTTCAAGCAAAATGACAGAAAATACTTGATCCTGAACTCTCATACAGTGCCACAGAAAAGGACAGAAAACCTTGCTTTAACTTTAACATTTCTTAGGGTTGGAAGGTTTGCTCGAGTGACCCTATCTGTCTTGTTCTACACTTATGATCTGGACCTCCTAACACTAAAAAAAAACCAAAACACATACAACACCACCACCACCCTCACAAGGTAATAAGCTAGCCTCATGAAAGCTTTAGCTCTCACAATACTATCCAGAAAATGTCCAATACTATTACTAAGTAGTAAAATCTGTTTAAAATATTGCCCAGTGAATATTGATTACAGCTAAAACAGCTATATGAAATCCCACCAGGTACTTCTCAACGAGCAAGTGAAACCACTGGGTTTAAAGAGAAAGGAAAATGTCTACCTTTGTAAACAAAGATCACATCAAATGCTGCTCACCTCAGCCATGTTGATAGACCCCACAGCCAGTGTCTTGTAGCCTAAAATGGTTCGGTTCTTGTACCGTTTCCGCCGTTGCAGCATGATCTGGAGCTTGTTGCCTTCTCTCTTCAAGAAGTGAGGGTACTGTGGTTGGAAACACAATGGAAAAGTTTATTACATCTCTTGACATTATCTTCTAAACTGCCTGCTTCACAAGTAAACTCCATTCCTAGGGATTAACCCCAACGCTTTTAGAAGTGCCTGCAGCTAACTCACACCCAGTGGACAAAGCCTTCATTATCCCAGGGAAGCCTTCATCTCTGCCCAAACCCCAGCCGAGCCCACTGAGAACACAATCCAGGGGCACAGAGGAGCTGTTCAGTCTGGGAAGGGCTGAGCCCAAGCTGGGTTCCAGAGAGATGAGGGGCCTCCAGGAGACCCTTGCCCCAACAGCTAAATGGAGGCTGCCTGGAACTGGAGCCCCAGAGGTGCTGCCCCTGCGCCGACAGCAGGCAGCATGCAGTGGCAGGGACAGCCACAGGCTCCTGCAGCTCTTGGCAGGACACTGCCTTCCCTCCAGCACAAGGACACCTCTCAGTGTTTGACCCTCTACTGCACACATTTAAGAACCTATTGTGCTCTGAATGGCAAGCGGAGAGAGGCACAGCTGTGAAGAGGCCAAGGATTTACTGATGTCTCTTTTCCTAAAGCACGAAGATCTACATGGTCACCAATGATTCTCTCCAGGACAATGCTGTCTCCTTCAGGCACTCAGCTCTTGCAATCGTCAGTGCTTTCCAGCATTAATACACTCAAACTTCTATTGCTCAAAGCAGTTGTATTTTAAGTAATTAAGTCAAGACAAACCCTGTCCTACTGCCAGACCATGTTCCAAGACATGTTCCAGTCAAGAAAATATCTTTGTTTATATCTCCCCAAAAACTCCCCAAGAACAGAGAAGCTGTGAAGACAAACAGAGACAATTAGGGAAAGAGTGGGGCTAACCACGCTAACTCAGCTTGCCCTGCTCATCTGCACAGATTATTAGTGCAGTCAGGTCCTGCTTTCTGCCACGACACTAGCTATAGCACCAACACTCCCCAGGGCCCAGCTCACCAGCTGTGAGAGGAAAAAGCCAAACAATGGAAGAGCAATCTTCAAGATACAGCAGCCACCTGACCAGTCTCATCCCGAAAAGAGAGGTGAACGGGACACATGCTCCAAATACACGAAGTACATTGCATTAAGTAACCTGCAGACCGGAGCATCTAATTGCAGGGACCTCAAACAGGACATTCCCAAGTGAAGGATGCTCCTCTTACAGGCAAGACCTAAATACTTTTTTTTTTCCTTGGACATTATGAAAGTAACTTCCTGCCAATCAAGACACTTCATCAATACAAATGCTGAGTGCCACAAGAAACTCCAGGATATTAATTTGCAGTCCAGAGCAAGCCTGACTGCTATGTAGAGAGCTGGGAGCAGTGGCCACACAAACAACCAGAATACTAATTAACTGATTGCTCTGCAAGAGCAAGGCCTGCTGTGCACTGCACAAGGAAGCGGCCCTGCAGAAGAGAGAAACAGCAGTCCACATCATTAAAAGACAACCTCAAAACACACCTGCATCCAGACCCAAGTGGAGCCTGTGACTTCACAGACACACAACATCCCTAAACAAGGATGGAAGAATTATTAGGGGGAAGGGGCAAGAGGGGCTCAAAAAGCCTGAGGCAACTTTTGCTTTCAAAATCTACCATCTCCTTGCCTCTGGGGCCCTTCCATGTGTTGGAAGGGCAGCAGGGGAGAGGGACTCCTTGCTCTCAGCTCAAAGCACTTGGACCACACCAAGGCTGCTTAAGTACAAGCCTGCAGGTAAAGTCATGCTTCATCCCAGGCCAGCTTGATTTCAATGCGTACAATTTTCAGGGATTAAACTGGACAGCTAATGTTCATACGTGGGCAAGTTTCTGTTATTCAAAGGTGTGTTGCCTGGCCACCTTTGATGAGTATTCACAGAGATGATAACAGGAAGGTACCGAGAGACTCAGGCCACTCAGCTCCTCTGTTAAAAGTAAAGGCCTCTAGAAGGAAAGCCGAGCCATTTTCATAGTACAAGGTGTTTTTAACACCAGCCATGGCTGATCAACTCTACAGAACCGTTTTGAGCAAAACCTCTTAGTAATTGTCAGTCCATGACAGACTGGAGAAGAAAACAGTTTGGCTCAAAACATCTGAAAACAAGACTAAGCACCCCAAGGCACCTCTGAGGGGTGAGGAGGCCATCACACACACCAGAACAGCAATAGCCAGGGCAAGACATTTTTTCTGAAGCCCCGGTGATGTAATCCCTTCCATTTGGAAAGGGTTATTAGATTAAACACAGGAATTAAGTGCTCCAGAGAGCTGCTATGATGTGCTTGGAATATCTGGGCAATCTCACTTGATCCTGCGAAACCCAAGGAGGGCCACAACAAGGAGGCCTTCCAGCAGTAAGGGTGATGGTAGCTCACCTGCCAGAAAGGCTACTGCTGGTCTAGCCCTAGCTAGCAAGGCGAAACAGAATGAGACACAGCACTAACTCCAGTCTTACCCCAGCTGTGTAATAGAGCAACAGGAAACTCCTCCCTTCTGTTTGAACAGAGGCCTGCCAGACACAATGGGCTGCTGCTCACTGTTATGCCAGCCAGCACCTCCACGTTTCCAGATTAGCTCTGACAAGGAAACGCTCTGTGCAAAGGACAAGAATTTCACCCAGGAGAAGCACAGCTGAGGAGGCAGTGACTGTGAAGATACGAGGGGCTACAAATCCAGGCAGCTAGCACAAAGCAAGTTTGAAGAGTTGACAGCGTGATATGGAGATACTGGCTGCTGCAAGACACTGAGACCTTCTTGTGCTGTGACATGCACATGCTTTCACTTTGTGTCCCATCACCACTCTCAAACACATCCCAGGCACTATATTCAGACTGTATCTGGCTTAAGCTGCAGTTGTCAGCTAGGAGTAGCTTCCAGCCATTGTCCAATTAAGAAACAATAAAATCTGTCATAAAAATCCTGCTGTGCCATTTCAGGAAGGCTTCCCAGGCCTTACTGCATCCAAGACCACCAATACTTCCTGCAGTCAGAGACCAGCAGCACATCTCTGCATTGAGCTTGCTCACCTCTTCTGAAGTCTCAGTGTCACAGACATTGCTCTCCCCTATTCTGGCTCAATTCCCAGTCCCTTCAGGTGAAACTGAGTTAAAGGCAATGCCCTGTGTTCTGCTGCAGCATTGTTCTGAGTCCCAGAAAAAAAACCAAACCAAACATACTCCCAGTTTATTCCAAAAAGATCTGCAGAAATACCTGCTCCTTGCTGACACAGGATTGGCAGAGGGACACCTGGCTCATCTTACAGCTCTGCTCCCAACCATGGGAAAGCTGCAGCCCCAGGACCTATGAATTCCTGGCACATGGCTTTGTTGTTGCTGTTCACAAAGGAGGGGATGCAATGCTGCAGTTAACCCAGTCCGTGGGCTGCATCAGGACAGAACCAGAAGCATCAGCCATCTGTGTATCTGCCCGGGCAGCCGCAGGGTTATCATCCATCTGCAACGAAATCTTATCTGTTTCAAGTCTGCATAGATCTGAGTAACAACTGGTCTGCCTCACATCACCACTTGAGCCTTTCTTCTTGCCAGATCAAACTCTTCAAGATATAACCAATAGTCCCAGAACACAGATAATCCAGATATAAATGCTTCTGAGTGTCTGTCTGGCTCTGCTCTAGGCATGCAGGATCCTCCCTCTTGCTTGCAGCAAGCCAGCCCCTATTTACCTTATTTCCTTTCTCAGGAGGTAGCAACAGGACAGCATGCTTTGAGGAAAAGAGGAACCAATAAAATACGGTTGCTCCAATGCCCAGCTACTCCTATGACTCTAGAGCCAGGAGTAACTGTTTGCATACTGCTCCTGCTTCCCCAAGTGGTGCCTCTCTCAGCAACTCCAAATCAGACACTCACCTGTCCCATTCCTACTACTGCCTTCCGCCAGCCTGATACTCCATGCCACCCTACAAGGCTGCCATCCTCCAGTGCCTATTATTCATAAGGCAAGAAAAGGCAAAAAAGAGCCATCCTGCTCAGCTTCAGTTCCTGCCACAGCCATAACATTAAGAGGACAGATTGCACAAAGTCCTTGTGTTCCTGGGCTCCAAACACAGGATGCACAAGGAGGGTTCCCTAACACTGCAAACCAGCCCCCTGTGCTAGGCCCTGAATGCTGAGAGGCAATCCAGACTAATTTGTGCTGTTGTACTGAGGACATGCAAACTGCTGCTAATATCTAACTTTCCTGTTCCCCCAGGATTAGAGATCTGCCTTCCATGATGCAGGGTTGGCCCTAAGGACAAGTCTAAGGGTTTATATGGCAGCTTTCCTAGCAAGCTTCCCTCTTCCCCAGATCCTGGAAGCATCTTGGCCATTTTGCTCAAATTCCCCAGAGTTGACTGCCCGAGACAAGCTAAAAGAGCTCAGATAGCTCTTCAGAAATTGCTGGGACTTACTTAAGCCCAAGCATCCCTGGCAGCACTGGAAGGATCTTCATCTCAGACCCACAGCATACCTCTGCTCACTGTAAAGCATCAAGTCCAGCAAGCACACGTGCCCCAGGGCCACCTTACCTGCAGCGAGAAGGTCAGCGCAAGCTCCGTCTCCACGTGTCCACTCGGGGGCAATACAATCTCATGAGACCTCAGGATGCGCTTGGAGCCCTGTACAGAAACAAAGTCCACAGGGTGAATTCCCTGGAAGCCATCCCTCGCATCCCACCTCAGTCCTATTTACTGAAAACAGGAAACATTGTCAGGGACTACAACAGAGAAAGTGAATGGATACATCTGACCTTGCACTTCTGTGAAATATTAATGAGATGAAAGGGAGATATTTGACTAATAAAGATTTGGGCATATTTACTGTCCCTAACTGCAACAAAGCAGCTTTTGTTCATCCAAACCCCAGCACTCAAAAGCTATGAGTCAAACCGCCCCCCCCCCCCCCAAGTTCAAGTATCATATTTTTATTTCAGACAGTAGGTACAAGGCTCATCACCTCCTGGGTTTGGAAGCTGCGGTGCCGTGCTTACATCTCTGGCGTTAGCCATCACGGACTAGTATCTTTTTCTGCACGCATCCTTCCCTGGGGAAAGTGGAGATATTAACCTATTGTTTAAACAACTGCAAGTTGTTGGGGTCATAGAAGAAAAAAATCCACTAAGCATTGCAGTGGAGTCTGGAGACCTGATAGTATTACAGGGCAACTCCAAATCAACACTGTGTTTGGGCTGCTGTACACTGAGTTATTTGGCTATTTACTGTGTGAGCATCTCATTTCAGGGAATGTTTCAGAGAAAACTTGCAGGAAAGCATGACAGACTGCTGCCTAGCAAATCCTTCTGCACTGTTCAAACACAGCGGCAAGTTTCAGAGGTCTCTGGCTCAATATTCTGCTGAGGCTGCAGATCTGGCTTTGTCCAGACAGGCTGAACCCCCAGAAGCACAGAATTGTAGCTCTCAAAAAAGCAGCATCTGGGAAATCAGAAGCAGACTGGGGGGGCAAACACCTCCCAGATACATCCAAAGGAAAACCTGGTCTGCCTACATCAGCCCCAAATAGCATCTTGAGATGGGAGAGCAGCAGAGACTCATTTACATCCCTTCCTCCCCAAACACATCACTCAGGCAGGCAGAGCGAATGCTGTGCTTTGCAGCGGTGCCTCAGCTCCTGCACAACACAGCGCCAGCTGCTCTGTGAAGAAGCCGTGGTGCCTAAGCTCCAGCAGATCAGAAGACAGACAGCAGAGCAGGGTGAGAAACCGAAGTGCTCCCCTCAGGAAAAGCAGCACGCGTGCAAGTAAAGCACAGCTAGCTTCGCTGCTGGCAACAGCGGCATCTGTTCCGTTGGTGCAGAGCTCCTCAGAGCAGCAGTCTTGCTTTACTTGTTATGCAACTTGGAATCTAATGAAAGGCCAAATATAGTTGCTTTTAAAAGACCACAGCAAATAAATAGAGCAACGGCTTGGGAAATACAGTTGACAACTCTTTGAACATCACTGTTCAGGAGGCTGCAAGGAGACACGGGAAACGCAGGTAAGATGCTCTCATTAGGTCTGAATTCAGTCATCCCCTCTGGAAGGACTCCAGTGTCTGACACCTCTCTTGCAATTCCCCATACAAAGGCAGTGAGTCATTTGACAGAGATCATATATTTGATGATCCAGTACCACCAGCCTCAAACAATAGCCATGTCAGAAACCCGAGTGCTGGCAAATTAAGTGTCCCTGAAAGAGCTTGTCAGCATCATCATCATAACCTGCAAGCTATAAAGGGACTTTTAATAACAGGGCTTCAAATCTGCCTGCGTCCGAGACATCTGTAGTGCTACTGACCCGCCAATAAATAACACATCACATAGAAATATGGGTGCTGATCCAGCACAAGGGACACCCAAGGTGAGGCACTCTCTGGGACAGTGGTCACTGCAGCCACTGTCACCTCTAGGTCAACTGGACAGACATCTCAAGGGCAAAATAAAGATGGGAGGCTGGGGATGCAAGCTGCAGTCTGGGACTTGGCAGACGAACATCCCAAACAGTGTAAGTCCTTCTGCCTCCCAGTCCTTCAGGGTTCTGCCCTGGTGTAGAGAGGACTGCAGGAGAACTGCTCAGGTTCCAGCATCTGAATTACTGTAGCAAGGCAGATCACAACATGTACCTAAAATAGACAAGGAAGTCGCATGTGTTAAAACTCTCTCTGGACTTGCAGGTCTGGGGCAAGCTTTCACCCATTAAAAGTGTAAGCAGTTAGAAGTAAGCTGGACAGGAAAATAAGGTTTTGCTCTAGTAAAAGCTACTGAATTCTTCAACCCAAGTCTGACACACTCTGGGCTTAGATCACGCACTGACAAGCCTCGGGCCCTTACAGTGATGCATCCACCATCTAGGAGTATAAACAGATGGAAAGCTTTCAGCCCTGATAAGCAGTATCTGTCAGCCTGGGAACCCACAGCTGTGCTGCTTCTGAGGTTCCCACAAATCCAGGTGTGTGAAACGATTTCCTGCCTTTCTGCTCCCTGCTGTGGGTACATGAATCCCCCTCCAACATAGAGGGACACAATTTTACCCCAGTTGGACTGCTCATGGAGATGACAGATGCCTGTTAAATCCTCGGCTGCATCTTCTTGCACCACACAGCCTTTATGATTTCATCTTCCAAGCTAGATTTTGTGTGCTTTGACATAACCAGCTCCTTGCAGGGGTTTGCCTGGTTCTTTATTTGAAAAGCAGCTGCTTTTCAGCATGGTTAATGGTATTTTTTTTACTTACAGGTCTGCTAGGCTTTTACTCATTAAGTACTTCAGCACTGACAGTGGTGGGAGCACATGAGCTGAACTGATGCTGTGACACACTGTGGAACTGAGTCCCCTTCCTCCCAGCCTGCCTCCAGGCAGCATGACCTACATGTAGGCACCTAATTAAATAGCACAAACGTATGCTGTAAAGCGGGTTATTTACCTAGGATGACAGCTGTATTTTATGGAAACAAATTAAAAAGTACAGGCACCCTACAAATCCACTGACAAGAACCTGGCTACAAAATTACTTGGACTCGATAGCTGAGCTGCCCATCAAGAGAGAAAGGCCCAGACTCCAGACCCCCCAAACCAGGACCAAGTTATCAAAATGTTCAGCCCTAAAATCAAGCTGAAGCATGTTAAATAGGGAACCAGGCTTGGATTTAGTGACAGCTCAGGAAAAAGAGGTGACAGTATATGATCTGTAAAGAGCATTTGTACATACAGATAAGCTCATGCTGAGCCCTCAAGAACAATATTCTTCGCTTACAACAGTGAAATATAGTAGGAACATGGGGGAAGGATCAGAAAAGGTGCTCCACACATCCAGAATGCCCTGATGCACTTGAGAAGAAGCCTGTGGCTGCAATGGACCCCTACTTGGAGGTGAAGCTCAGTTTAGGCATCTGCCAGTATTTTTAGCCAAACAAAACATTTAATTCTTAGAACTGAGCAGCAATTACCTGCATTTTGACAGCAATGACCCCAGAAATAAGCTCCTTATCCAATTCCTTTAAGACTACCAGTTTCTTTAATGTCAAGCTGCACAACCTGCAAACAGGAACAGAAGAGAAACAGTTACAATCATGCCTGAAAAAAGGAAAAGCTCTGAACAGCTTTTACACACAGCATTATTACACACACCCACTTTGAGGGTGAACAGGCTCCAGACATAAGCCACATACTGATACAGACATAAAGATGGCAGGAATGTGTGAGGCTTCCCTGGCTTTTTGCAATGAATTTCTCCAACCTTTCACAAATACAAGGAGGTGGACAGGAGGTATGTCCCTCTGTGATACAGACCCATAGCCACATGAGAGCGCCTCACAGCATGAACTTCTACTGACCACAGCCTGGGAACTCTTGCTCTGAGTCAGACCGAAAGTTTTAGGGTCAGAGGAATTAAATTCCAGCAATATAAAAGCACAGGGTCAGTCTAATTTTAAACTTGTCTACAAAGCTTTCCTAGATTGTTGGCTTTTTCAATTTCAGGCTCCTGGCTCCCAAACATCTCACCCCCACCTCCTCTTTTCAACCCACACATTCTCCTCCTCACCCCCAAACAAAAGTGCTAGCAAGTGGCTCAGGCATCTCTAATGGGAAAGGAGAAAAAAAAAAAAAAAAAAAAAAGGAGAGGACTCAAGCAGTGCCCTCTGGCCCTGTCGTTCACATGCCACACATATGCAAGTAAATCACATTCCTTACCCAGCAATGCTACATTGTTCTGGTTAAAGCTGTTTGCACTTCTGCCTTCCAGCACAGAAAGCCTGGGAGGGGATAAAGTTTGGACTAGGTGCAGCAGAGTTAAGGTTCTGAGGTAATGGGACCACAGTATTGGCACTGTCACAATTCCACAGAAGTCACCACCAGCTGGTGTAATTAAGAAGGCATGCCCAGAAACAAACTTCAGGGAAAGATAAACCTGAAGCAAAGAGAGCTCAGCTTGAGGAAAGCAAAGGCCAGAGAAAGCTGTGGGTGGGCTCTAGTGAGTAGACATCATCCTTCACACTTGCCAGGAGCTGGTACTGCCTTTGTGTCAGGTCCCTACCCCACAGCATGAGCATCTTTGGCCTCTGCTATGGAATGTTAGCAAGCCTCAGCATGGCTTCTCTGTAACCCACTGCAGACCTCTTTCTCCCAGATAAAGTATAACATCAGGGCTGTACATGAAGGGGCCAAGTCCAGCAGTAGATGGAAAGGAAATAGTTGCTGATGCCAGATTTTGGTGCATGTCCAGGCAACAGCAGCACATGTGCCACTGACTGAAGCCCACACTTGAACTACAGGACTCCACGCTGGTGCCAGGAACCCAACAAGTCACCACTGCAAAGGTGACTTGCAGTTCCACCACCTTCACCACAGAGGAAAACTGAAACGTTGCTTTGCTGAAATGCCAGAAGGTAGACACGATCCGCCTGGGTGCAAGACTGCAGGAGAGATGCAGCTAAAGGCTCTTCCCTACAGGAGCAGTGGCAGATGTTGAAGCAACTGCTGCCTGCTGTATCCAAGAATGCTCCGTGGCTCTTGTGCAGGGCTAGGAATGGGGAAGAGCTGGCCTTAGCTCTTATGGTCTTTACTCAAGCACCTCTCCAAACCTGCCCTTGCCAGCCTCTTCTCCACCCCAGCCCATGCTATCTGCTCTCCCAACTCATCTGCAAAGCACCAGTTCCTGCTGTCAGCCCCCCAAAACGAAAGAGATGGAGAACTAAAAGCTCTCTCCTTTGCAGAGTTTTGCATCAGAAGACAGCGCAGCCAGAGATGCTACAGAAATTACAAAGAAGGTGGAAAAACTGAGTCTGCCTGAGGCTCCATTCCCCTCTGTCACACCACCAGCTGCTGTGCACAGTGGCATCGAGACAGACGTGCTAGATGCGAGCCTGAGGTGGGGTGGCAGAAGGGGGCAGGACAGGGCTGGTGGAGGGGAAACCGAGCACACTTTCACCCACGGGCAGAGGCTCCCCAAGTGAAGCAGGCACAGGAGCACTGGCCAGGGCATTTCACTGCAAGCACGAGTGACCAGGGTGCACTGGAAGCCAGGTAAAGCTGCATCCCTCAACTCGGAATGCAGGAGAGGCCGCCGGCCTTCCCGCCCCATCCTCAACAAAACAGCAAGCAGACACACATGCGGCTGCTGCCAGGAAGCAGCCAGGCCAGGATCTGGAGGAAGGAGGCTGTGATGCCATTTGTTTTCTTTGTAACATTGTAGCCGGAGGACAATTGCACCCGGCTTGCCAAAACCCACAGAGCTTGGGCCAGTCAGGTGCTGAGAGCAGAGGTAGGACAACACACTGGCATTGTCTCAGCTGACAGGCAAGGAACAAAGGCCTTTTCTCTCTGGCCTGAGCTCGAGGATGAAAAAGGTACGGGAAGAAACAATGGTGTTCTCAGCACACACAGCAGAGCACAAGGAGGGCGTTCTGTTCTCCGCCGGGCATTCCTTCAATTCATCATTTATGAGCTTTGATCAAGCCCTGTGGAGCACTTGACGCTTGGAAAAAAAAAAACAAACAAAAAAAAAAAAAACAAAACAACAAACTAAAAGCCTCCTTTGCAGTGAACAGAAAAACAAAAGCAGTTAAAAAAGACACAAAATGCATCTGCTTTCTTTATCCCCCATTGCTGGGCCGCTGGTCCTAGAAAGCGCTTCACACAAAAAACAATGAAATGTTTATATTCTCCATTGAGGGAGGGGAAATAAAAATCAGAAAGAGTTTAAATCCCACCAAATCACTCATCCTCAACATGCTTATTGTTCCAGGTCTTCAGTCTAAGTATGCAGTTTACAAATCAAAGCAACCTTCAGAATATGTGGCACAAAGGGGCCATACCTTACTCAAATAATCATGAAAAGGCATATTCCAAGCATGTCACTGCATCCAGAGACAGCATGGTGCCCCCGCTGCCAGCACAAGGATCCTGAACTGCTCACACCTGCAGGTACAGCAAGGATTTGTCTGCCATAACTGCCTCTGATAACAGTGGCACCTCCTTCCATACACTTATCTTTTGACTAGGTTTTGCTGTACTTCCGTCAAGTCTCAGGGACCAGGAAGGGAACCGGTCTCACAAAACGTTTCAATCTATGAGCCTGTTAACATTAAACATTGGTAAGAAAAACAGGGTAGGCACAGGTGGACCTGGAAAGATCTGAAAAAAGAACAAGGCTACATTTGGAAGGTTCTAATACACACATACAAGATCTCTGTCAACACAGAGAAAATAACCCAGCACACGCACACAAGAACTGAGGAAGCCTCATGTCTGGAGCTGAAAAAGCCTGAAGTATTTTGAGCAGTCTATAAAAAGCCTGGGACTGCAGTACAGGAGGTGCAGACAAACCCTGTCTTTGCATGTTTGTTTCAGCAGTGACCTATGATTGCACATGGAGAGTTAAGCTAGCAAAAGCACTAAATTAGCCAAAGCAGTGTTAAATAAGGGCAATCAAAATCTGAGAGCCAGGATTTCCACCCTTTTTTGAAGATTCATAGTAGACCCCCCTGCTAGGAGCACAGCTGGGTCCCACACAGGAGCAGGCAGTGCCTGCTGAGGAGCCTGCATCCCCTCCCATCACACGTCCCCCCCACGGCGAAGAGGCACAAAGTACTTGCCTGACCCCATTCTCAGGTTAACAAATCATGAGACAGCTTAATGTGTTCTACAAGAAAGAAAGTCTTCATCTTTCTACATCACTGCTGCAAGAACACAGTTTTAAAGAGGAAATCTGGACCTGACCCAACAGTTTTGACTCGCCCTGATAATGCCAGTTGTACTAAATAGCTTCATCACAAGCTCTTTGCTCAAGGAGGCAGTTATCTGCAAAGAACATAACATTTTGGTAACCAAGATCCAGCAAACATGTCCAGAACAACTAGATAAGGTGTCACATTCTTTACTCACCAGGATGTTTTGCTTTTGCATCCGAGTAGGAAGATCAGGAAAATAAACCCCCTCTAAGAAAGAGCCTGCCTCACTGAATTAAATGTCTGTTTCTCCACAGGGAGCACAGTAATTGCACTGAGACTTCACTCATGCAGAGATAGTCAAATCAACAGGAAGGAAAAATTAAAAATTAAAGACCTGTATTTTAATTAAGCCCCACAGAAGTCAAGAATAATAACAGATGCATCCACAGCTATAGGGGACTCCAAGTGCAAAATGGGAGCCAGGGCAGGAAGACTCTAGCTCTAGGGAAAATGTTTCATGGCAGGAGCACTCTCCTCTGAGGTCTGTAAACTTCAATCAGCCAATGGCTGTAAGGAAGGAACTGGTCTCTGTTTGGTCACCAGACAGTTTCACCTCACCCAAATCATCTCAGCATTTCAGGACAGCCAGCAGCCTCCTACCCCAGTGCTTTCAACCTCAACTTTGAGTGTTTCGCTCTGAGCTGGCACTGCACACCCAAGTCAGTCCCAAAATAAATCGCGAGCTACTTGAAGGAGAAGTGGAGGGAGACACCCACCTACACACATGCTTGCCCAAACAGAGTCATTCTGCACATAGCTCCAGGGGCATCTGTGCAGAAGAGGCTGGAGTGAGAAGCCCTGCACAGCATTTTTCAGAGACAGCTGTTTAAGTAAGGTACAAACGCATGCAGCGCACAGCCAACTGTGCAGGCAGCTTCTTACACCTGCTTTGCACATGCCCGGGAAGAAAAGACTACCACATGGATGTACTCGTTGCTTTATCACATAATGTACAAGTGCATTACATGATAAAGGCAGGGCTCTGTACTGGCCTAGGAGAGTTAGCCTGGGGAGAGAGCCAGGGAGAATTGCTGTCCTCTAATGTCACTGAAGCATCAGAGTGGGGTCTCTGGGCAAGGGTAGCAATGGTAGAAGATGCAAGAAGAGTGATTCTTCACTTTCCAAAGCTTACAAATTAACTGTCTCAAAATGATCTAATCTCAATCCCATTCTCAGGTAAACTCCAAGGCAAGAAGAAATTAAATGAGGAGGCAGAGGTCAAGCACCCCAATTTCTGTCATGCCAGAAACATAACCTGAGTAACTTGCAAAAAAAACATAATAGTCCTGTATTAGTCTCTGCTTA